CCTGTATTTATTTAACCATAAGCAAAACTTAGAATTGTCCTTTTAATAGGTATTGTAGCTCTGCAATTGTCATTTTCATTTTAGCATTAACTGCATGTTCGCATTCTTTTTAAACTGTGAGGATTCAGTTTATTTTGTGTTTAACTTTTTAATTTTGTCCCCTTGTTTTACACAGGCGAGCTGAGAGTGCGGGTCCACACAGGTGTGTCCTGTTAGAGCTGACTGCCACCAGGGTATAAAGGTGGAGCTGATCCAGCACTTGGCAGTGATCCGTTTGCTCAGAACTAGTGAAGACTTCAGACTTCAATCCATCCATCCATCCATCCACCCACCCACTTTTTCATTTTTGGATCGTGGGGGTCACTGACGCCAATGTCCAGCAGTCACTGCGCGAGAAGCGGGGTACACCCTGGGCAGGTTTAAAGTCCATCACAGGGACACATAGAGACAAAAAAGACAACCAATTCAATTCAGTTTATTTATATAGCACCAAGTAGCAAAAGAAGTTGTCTCAGAGCACTGTACAAAAACATTCTCTTACATAAAAAGCTATTTAGTAAATGTTCTCTATCTAAGGAAGCCAGCAGATTGCGTTGAATCTTTACTTTGTCACAGTCTCCAATCCTGAGCAAGCACACTGGCAACAGTGGAAAGGAAAAACTCCCTTTTAACAGGAAGAACCCTCCAGCAGAACCAGGCTCAGGACGAGCGGCCATCTGCTTCGACCGGCTGGGGTTTGAGAGGACAGGAAGGAGAAACAGACAAACAGAATGGCAGGTTGTTAAAGGAATAAAGAATGAAGGTTGGGAATTCAGCTCCGTCCTCTGTTCGTGCCTGCCTGCTCGCTCTCTCCTGTCTCGCCTGCTTCTCATCACTTACCTGTTTAGTGGAACCTCCTGCTCCAAGCCTGAACCAAGGACAAGAATCAGTCAGGTCCACTCTGTGTAAAATACAGTTTTGCCTCTTTGGCTCGGTCTCATGTGTTCCCCTCTCTCCAGATATAATTTAGTTCCCCCCTCCTCTGTATTTAAACCTATTCTGTCTTTACATTGAGCCTGTGTGTACCATCTGTGTCCTCTGACTATTCGAGTCCTGTGAAGCTGTTAAACACAGCAATATGACAACATCTTTACACAGAAGTTAATACAGTTGGTCAGTTTGCATTAAGTACTATCGTATTGAATTTGATAGAGTCTGTATGTTTAATAAACCACCTCCTAATCATTAGCTTAATGTTTCAGGTAATATTTTATGACCACAGTGGCTGTGTGCACCATACAAAATGTATCATTTTCAGAAGATGAACTGTTTTGCAGTTTATTTGTGGAACAGGACTGTGCCAGCAGTCGGACTGAACACACTCCTCTGCCTGCTGAAGATGCTGTGCAGAGTATGGTGGGAGTTCTTCACAGAGCCAGCCCTCACCAGTCTGTCCAGTTGGGCCACGCCCTTCTTCCTGGTGCTGCCTCCCCAGTACACTACAGCATAAACAAGGACACTGCCGCCACGGACTGGTGAAATATCTGCAGCAGCTTCTTGCAGACATTGAAGGACCACTCCTCCTTTAAGAAGCAGAGGCAAATCTACACCAGCTGTAGATGGCATGTTCAGTCTGTCATCCAACTGTAGTCCTAGGTTTTTATAGTCCACTTTATTCTTCATTCATTCAACCTTTATTTAGACAGGTAAATCCCACTGAGCCTCGAGCACTCATTTACAAGAGAGACCTGATTTCAACAAGAATGATGATAACAATGGACAACAGCGACAACAATAAACAGTTATAAAAAGTCATACAAATTATTATTATTATTATTATTTTTATTATTATTTTTTTTTTTTTACAAATAGGAAGGCAAAAAAAAAAGAAAAGTAACAAAAAACTGCTAAATTCTAAGGTGAATGTAGAAAACTAAAAACAGGAACATGTCTGCATTGGTTCCTGCCAGGAGTCCAACAGATTCTTAAAGCCACTTAGAGAGGTCACGGTCGAGAGCTTCAATTGTTTTTGTAAGATATTCCAGGAAACATATATTTATAAAGCCCATTTAAAACAGAAGCTGTTACCAAAGTAATACAATTAATGGAAAAAAATAAAACTGATGGTACTGAAAAATTTATTAAAAGCATTAAATAAAAAACGTAAAAACACAGAACAAAAAAATACTAAATCAACTCCTGCATGAAATGCCAGAGAAAATGTGTTTTTAGCAGAGATTTGAACACAGAAAGGGAGGTGGTCTGCCTAATGTTGGGGGGCAGATTGTTCCAAAGTTTGGGGCCCATGACTGAAAATGCCCGATCACCTTTGAGCTTCAGTTTTGTTTTTTGAACAGCCAAAAGCAGCTGATTGGATGATCTCAGGGCCCGAGAAGGAACATATGGTTCCTGTAGAGCAGAGAGATAAAGGGGTGCGAGGCCATTTAGCCACTTGTAGGTCAAGAGGAGAATTTTCAAATCAATTCAAGTATGTACAGGGAGCCTGTGAAGGGAGGGCAGAATGTGTGCTCATATGAGTTCTGGTTAAGAACTGAGCAGCAGCATTCTTGGATGAGCTAGAGACGCAAAATGGAGACCTGGCTGACCCTATCATAGAATATATTACACTAGTCCGGATGGGTCATGATAAAGGCATGGATTAGTTTCTCGAGGTTGGGTCTGAACAACACTGGCTTAAGCTTACTGTAGCTACGTGACTTAATTGGAAGAAGCTTTTCTGCAGAACAGAGTTGATTTGTTTGTCAAACTTGAAGTCAGAGTAAATCCATCCCGATATTTTTAACAGACTGCTTAAGATATGGCTGAAGGGAGTCCAGGTTTACAGCGGTTGAACTAGGGCTAAACAAAAAGCCTTCAGTCTTCTGATAGTTAAAACTTAAAGGCCTTAATGTCGTCCAGACATTTTAACAGAGGGTGAACAGAGCAAGCACTAGCTGGTTCAAGGGCAGGTAAATCTGATAATCATCAGTATAGCAATGAAATGAAAGACCATATTTCCTCAGGATAGACCCCAAAGGGAGAAGATAAAGTGAAAACAAAAGGGGTCCAAGAATCGAGCCCTGTGGAATCCCACAGGAAAGAGGCATTGAAGCAGATACATTATAACCAACCTTGACATAAAAACTTCCGTCACTCAGGCATGAGTGGAACCATTCTAATGGTGCACCTGTAATCCCAACCCAGTGTTCCAGCCGCGATATAAAGCTACTGTGGTCCAGACCACCCCCACACTAAAACCCCTTGATGGACTCTGGTTTAACTATAGGCCTGTTACTTCAGAAATCCACCACCTATACTCTGTAGTCTTAATGTCACACCATCCCACAAAGTCCTCCACCAGGCTCCTGTACTCCTCCCATCCATCTCATCGACACCCAACTATCACTATGTCCTCTGAGTATTTCTATATGGGACAGAACTAAGACTCATACTGGAAGTCAAGATCTTTCTAAATATTAGCTATCTAGTGCAAAGAATTGTGTTTATTAATTCAAGTCTGAGATGTTTTGCACTTGTAAAAAGTGGGATAACTGTGGCTGATGAGATCTGGGTTCCTCCATTACATGTTGAAGTGCCTTTGATCAGGATACTAAAATCTAAGTTGCCACCAATCTGCAAATGCGTTTGAGAATTTGAGAATATGACTTGTAGTACAAGTTTTCAGAGGTCCGAGCAGAAAAACACTACAAATGCCTTCCCAAGGATTGTTAAAGATGCATTTCCTCTACTTTGTTTTGTTGAGTTTAACTAAGAACTTCTCCCAGAAAGTTCAGAGTTATTTAAAAATCAGATCCCCGTTATAAAATTCAACTGATTAAAGTGAGACGGTTTCACAGACACTTTCAATCAGTTCACAGAATTTCTTCAATCCTTTTTAAAGCACTAGTTCGCATGCAAGGATAATCATTTAAAATAAAAATTACACATCAGAATACTGTTTGTGTTCAAGCAAATGTTTTTTTTTAATAAAAGTAAATTGTATTTTTTATTATTGGTTTCCAAAACACTGAAATACTTTGCAGCATTACACCTTTACAAGAAGCTTAAGGCACAACGATTCATACAGATGATTTCTGGAACTATCATCACAAATTCATTCAACCTTTATTTAAACAGGTAAATCCCATTGAGCCCCGAGGACTCATTTACAAGAGAGACCTGATTTCAACAAAGAATGATGACAACAATGGACAACAACGACAACAATAGACAGTTATAAAAAGGCATACACATTTTTTTTTACAAATAAGATGGCCAAAAAAAGTAACAAAAACAGATAGATTATATGGCAAATGTAGAAAACTAAAAACAGGAACATGTCTGCATTGGTCCTTGTCAGGAGTCCAGCAGATTCTTAAAACCACTTACAGAGATCAAGGTCGAGAGCTTCAAATCTTTTTGTAAGGTATTCCAAGAAACAGGAGCGGAGTAGGAGAAGGCCCTTTTGCCTAGTTCAGTCTGCACTGAGGGAACACTGCAGGTAATAATGTCCTGAGAGCGCACGCTGTAGCTGCACTCACAGAGACATGTAGGAGGAGATGTATGAAGGCAACAAACCAAGAAGTGATTTAAAGATGAAAATGTACCAGTGAGAGAGTCTGTGTGAAGTTAATGATGACCAGTTAACCAGTGAATACAGGGTGCAGTGGTGGGTATGATAATCACAGCCAGTTATGAATCTTAGTGCACCGTGATAGACAGCATCCAACATCTGCAGGGTGCTTGTAGAAGCGTTCATGTAAATAATGTCACCGTAATCAATGGAGGGAAGGAAAGTCACAGTTACAAGGTGTTTCCTAGCATTCAGAGTTAGACAGGATCTGTTTCTGAAAAAAAAACCCAGTTGAACTTGCAGTTTTTTTACTAGGTTTTCCACATATGGCTTAAAAGAGAGATGCGAGTCGACCAAGATACCCAAATATTTATTGGAATCAACAAACTGAATAATCATAACTGACTCCAAGCACAGCAAAAGAAAAAAAAAAGAGTTTTAGTTAAGTTGTGCCGAACTGCTTCGAGGTCTGAAGACTTTGGCTGATTTTCAGATGATGGCTGATTTCATGAACTGAAGAAGGAGGGGAATAAAATAAGACAATTAAAATAAAACATAAACATTAATTCTAGGTTTACAGTTGTGAATTAAAATATGTTTATATTTTACATTCCAATATGTTTTGCACTTATTCATGCAGATGATGGCAAGAATTTTCCTCTTTATTTATTTTACTTGGTTTTGTTTTTTTAATGCAATTCCTATCAACCATTATTAGCTTTAAACAACATTTTCACAAGTTGGTTTTCAAGGTTTTGTTTTTTTTTTACATACAAATCATTTTTAATTTTTGATTATAAGATGGTTGCAGAATATTTTAAAAGCCCCAAATAATCTTTTTTTTTCCTAGAAAAAGATTGCACAATGGTTCCTTTCGATATCGATTTAAATATTATCTTCAACAAAACAAACATTTCAGCATCAAAACTTTGGCCAACAAAACAAAGTAAGTTTCCATAATGATTACTTGTGAAACATTTTTAGGAGGTTTACACACCGGTAACTGAATAACATTTTATGCAGCTGCTACAGAAAATATCAGTTATTTGATAGAATAAAAAAAAAAACTTACCTGCTTGAAAGAGAAACTGGCAATTTGGCAATCACATGATAAATTCAGCAGGTGAGCCTGGAAACGATCTGAAAACCAAAGGAACATATTTAATCCGGCAGAGATGTATCTAGTGTTTTTCAAATGGGGGGGGCCATCAGGGTGTGCCAGGGGGCCCCCAGAAAGCTGGAGAGAAGAAGATTTAAAAAAGCAAAAATAATAATAATAATAATAACAATAATTGCACACTGGGGCAATCTGTATCTGTCATTTCCAGATAAACACATTTGAGAGAGGTTAGATTTATTTTGTTTTTTCTTCTGGTCAACAGTTTGTTGAGAAAAAAAAAATCAGTGGGGATGTAATACAGTGTTTAAAACTTGTTAGTGAATAACATGTTTATGCTCAGCAGCTGTATTAATTGAATATAGTGAATAAAAGTTAAAACATTCTAAAAGTTTATGTTTCTTTACATATTTTGTAGCATTATTGGTGAGTTTGCGGGGGGCTCAGCTAGAAGCTAATGCTGTTTGGGGGGGCCATGGCATGGAAAAGTTTGGGAACCCCTGTAACATGTAATTTTCATTGCTGAAAAACAAAAACTCAAAGACCACAAACAGAAAACTTATTGCATATGTGTTATGGACCAGAGTGACTTTAATGAGGTTCCAAATACCTTTGAGGATTTGAAGTTTCGTCAGGGCTGCAACATATTTATCATAATCGATCCCACCCTGGGCGCTGTATTCAAACCACAGAGCTCTGAAGCTTTCCTCGTCCAAATTAAAATCTGCATGAAAGAGACAAGATACAAGTGAAAATGATGCAATGCCTGTCGTACAACAAACGTAACTTAAAGTGCAACTTACATTGATATGAGCAAATATGTTTGTTTTATCAGCAAAGTTAAAATAATGTTATAATAAACATGTAGTTTCACACCATGGGCAGCAACAGCCTTTTTCATTTGGGTCTTTGTGACAGTAGATTGAGTGCCGCTGTCGTAGTTCTCCACATACTCTCTCCTGATCACAGCCGCATAATGTTCTAGTTTGAAGAACTCCACCGCATCCAAGTCTCCTGTTTTATCTGCCTGAAGGTGCTGGTTAAAGAGTTTCAAAGTGTCACACCTTAGCCCAATGACTTCTTCTTCTTCAGATAAGACCAGCTACTGTAGTTGAGTGTTTAGACTTGGTTGCAGTTTTCTCTGAAATTTATCACCAAAGTTGGTTTTTGTATTTTTTTTCTATCATAAAAGTCCAGTTCAACTAATTAATGACTTTAAATGCTACATAATATCCAAAATTTCTTCTTTCAACGTATTCAAGGGATCTTAAAGGAAATGTAAAATGCTTTGTCATTGTGGTTGCAAACAAAAGCAAAAATGCATCTGGTATTAACAACACTATATTTATGACAATATGTTTATTTGTGCTTCTCATTAGCAGTAAAAGAAAGTTTAGGGTATTTTCAAGACATATTTGCAAGATTTATATAAAAGGAAGAAGTCTTGATTGAAATTAATAAAATATTTGTCCTTTATTAATGCAACTTTCATAACTTTTTATTAGTAAAAAATGGAAAACATGAAAAATAAAAATGTGTTGATTGGGGTAAAATGACCAAAAATCACTTCAAGCAATTCAAAAATGGTACTGAAGAACAATTAAATTTTTTAATTCATTTAAACTAAGTACCCAGTTAAACATGTTACAGTACTAAAAACCTTTTATTTTTCCCAGTGTTGGCCATTGGATTTATTTATCACGTTATGAATTTACCTCAAAATATGACTGGCTGTATCAAAAAAAAAAAAAAAACTGCTAAATGATGGCACAGAATCCAACAAGTTTAGTTCCAAAGGATACATCCATGAGAGTCAGCAGCAGGTAGGCAGTCTTGAGAGTTAAAGCTGTGTTTTAAACAAATAAAAACAAACATGAATAAAATAAACATTGTTTGGATAATGAAACACTTTTGTTAAATTGATGTAAAATGAACTGACATTTTCCACTAACAGTGTAGCCACCAGTGTTGAGTTTAGCAAGAACATCTTCAGCCCTCAGCATCTGGAAACAATATTGCATTAGACAAAGGAACAACAAAAAAAAAAAAAACACATCAGAGGTACAGCACATGTTGAGCAACTGGGAGATCACGTTAAGAGGTCAGACTGAGATGGTTTGGACATGTCCAGAGGAGGGACAGTGGGTATATTGGTGGAAGGATGTTAGAAATGCAGCTGCCAGGAAAAAGACAAAGAGGAGAAATATGGATGCAGTTAGAGAGAACATGGAGGTAGTTGGAGTGAGGACAGAGTGAGATGAAGGAGGATGACTCGCTGTGGAGACCCCTGAAGAAGGAACACCCCCCTAACCCTGACCCTCAGGAAATTACAAATAGCAGCAGGAACTTTGTTCTTGGGTCAAACATTTGCTGCACAATTTCTTTATAATCTGACAATAATCTGACAATAATACCATTTTAGATTCTGTCACTCATTTTTAAGGTACTCATTGGAATGTTGTGAAGACCAAATCAAAAAAGAAATAAAAACGATGATCTAAGAAACAAAATCCACATTTTTTTTTCCACCTTTAAATGGTTAAAGTGTCCTTAAAATAAAAATTTATAAAAGCAAAATATGTGAACGTCTGAGCTTTCTTTAGCTACAGAAACAGCTGAAGTGACTGAAACAGGTCAACAATGGCAACACCCAGGAAGAGTCAGGTCATCTGGACGGTTTCATTTTTTGCTGAGACATTTCGTCCTTCATCCGAAGGACTTCTTCAATCTGAGGAGCCACCAACAAACTGAGTCCCACAGTCAGCACACTACCATAGTGGGGAAAAAAAAACAGTTTGCTGGTGATAAGATGAAATTAGAGGCCCACCCTCTCCCCCATCAACTCCTCTGAGGCAGCCATGCCAAAGTGGTTCAAAACACCAAAGTTTATGCTCATTAATCCAGGTAAAAATCCAACAATGTTCAGTAAGGTCATTTGGATGGTTCCTTTTCTTGCTGAGATGTTTTGTCCTTCATTCAAAAGACTTCTTCAACCTGAGGAGCCACCAAACCAACTGAGTTTGCTGGTGATGATGGCCTCCGAGGCCACGATAATGCAAGAAACAAAATCCACTTTTTTTCTCCTATAAGGTGTCCTTAAAATGATGGTTCCACTACGGGAGTGCGCTGTTTGTGGGACTCAGTTTGTTTGGTGGCTCCTCAGATTGAAGAAGTCCTTGGAACGAAGGATGAAATGTCTCAGCAAGAAAATAAACCATCCAGATGACCTGACTGAACATTGTTGGCTTTGTACCTGGATTACTGAGCATGAACTTTGGTGTTTTGAACCATTTTGACATGGCTGCCTCAGAGGAGTTGATGGAGGAGAAGGCGGGCCCCAGAAACCATCGTATCACCAGCAAACTGTTTGTTTTCCACTATGGGAGTGTGGTGCTTGTGGGACTCCAGTTTGTTGGTGGCTTCTCGGACTGAAGAAGTCCTTTGGATGAAGGACGAAACATCTCAGCGAAAAAATAAACTGTCCAGATGCCCTAACTGAACTATGTTGGATTTTTACCTGGATTATTGAGCATGAACTGTGGTGTCCATGAAGAGCTGTTTAAGATTAAAGTACTTTGTTTACATTGAGTGTGCACCCTCATTTAAGTATTTCACATCACTGTATCTGGAAACCTATTGGAATAAACACTTTCAAACTGCACCATTTAATACAGTCCAGGAAAAACTTTTTTTATGCTTCATTTCATAATTTACCATGAGTACCTTTCGGCAAAACGATGTAAGAATAGCTATTAATTTTAAGACAGAATCTTACTTGATTCCTGTTGTTGTCCTGTAAAAGAAAAAAAAAACAAATGTGTGTAAAGAGAAATCTGAAGATGCAGCATTTAAAACCAATTCATTTAAAAATAAACTTCTATTTTCTCAACTCTATGACATAGTACTTACAGGTACACACATTTCCTCAGGGAAGGTGTTGCACTGCAGCTCATCTGGCCAGGAGACGCCAAAATTACTCATCAAACCCTCACAGTCCTTTTTGGCTTTTTCACAGAATGACCTGCAGGGCCGCTGCACCTGCCCATCCACACACTCCGGGGTGTAAACTCTGCACAGGAAGAAGCGTATGTCTGCGGAGCACACAGTCTGCACCATCGAGTTGAAAAAGGACATCTTGGAGACCGCTTCTCTTTGACTTGTGTGGCCCAGGAGGTTTGGGACGATGGTCTGGTTGTAGGACAGGCCCTGGCACATTGGTATGGTGATGGGCTCACAGATCCCCCCGGTGCTGCTCACTCCATACTGCAGACACAAGTGTACATTTCCTCATTCTTTAGGTAACGTTTTGTATTCTGCAACAGACAACTTTTACTGTGCCGACACATTCAAATTAAGATTTACGGAACAACACGAGACTCAGACCGCAAAAAAACGTTTACTTCTGCTGGTGAATTTGTTTGTACCCTTTTGTTGAAGAAGCATACGGAAGAGGATTAGGGACACAATGCAATTTTTTTCCCCTCTTAATTCTGAGAAAAAAGGTCAGAATTCTGACTTTTAAATTAAGGAAAACATTTTTTAATTGCACCGTGGCCCTAATCCTCTTCCATACAAAAGAACATGCAAACTCCTTTTGGTCAAGGCCAGTTTGATTAGTTTGTGTTTTAATATTATTCAGATAAAAAAAACAATTCAAAAACAATCCAAAATGTGACCTATGTAAAGAAAACCAGACTAACCTGTTCGCACGAGTCTGTGCCAAACGTTTCACACTTTAGGTTTTCAGGCCAGCTGAAGCTGAAGCTGCTTAACAGTGGCTCACAGCCGGCTCGAGCCTGCTCACAGAGCGTTCTGCAGGGAGCCACAGCCTTCCCTGACACACATTTGGGAAAGTAGACGGAGCACAAGAACGGCTTGAGATGAGGGGAGCAGTCATAGTTTACAAGTGGAGAAAACACATCCAGTGCTAGTTTTGCTTCCTCTTGGGTTTTGTGGCCGAGGACGCCGGGCAGCAGAGTTTCTGTGTAAGGCAGGTCTTTGCAGATGGAAGTGGTGATGGTCTGACATGTTGATCTGGATGTCTCAGCAACATGGAAGACCGAAGCCTGAATGAATAGACAGGAAGGAGGAAAAATAAGCTTAAAGCAAATATGTTTATGGCACAATATCTTATGAACCAGATTTAAGTGAAGCTGTCAGAATGTAACCATTGGATGAACATCTGCAGCTAAATAACCCTTGGAGTCCACCTCATTCAAGAAGCTAAGCAGCCTTAGCCACAGCTTTGGTTTGATTGTAGCATCCTCACCAACACATGCTTTGACCTCAACACAATGTGCAGAATTTTTACCAAAAACTTTAATTTTAAACAATGATCCTGTTTGTCTGTTAGCAAAATATTTCATGAACCAATGCACCAAATTTAACAAAACTATTTGAAAGTAATCACTGGATGTTCACCTACAACTAATAGTGTGAATGTTTATGAAGCATTCACACTATTGTGATGCAATTTTCTTCCATACGTTCTTGTCCGGCAGTTTTCAAGCTATTTCAACAAATCAGATCAAACATTCAGCTCTTTCAGGACAATCCTGATATGACTTTAGGTATTGGTGCAACTTTAGCTTTTTGAAATATTTAGCCTTTTCTGCCATTTTTTCCTCAGAGAAAATGAATTGATCTCATTTTACATCCTTCAAATCTTTAGCTCCGTTTACAACCTTTTACTGCTCCGTTCACATTTTGTTCACTTCAGCTTCTTTCAACTTCCTTGTGCAAATTTAAACTTTTTTCATCTACTTTAAGCTAATTTCAGCTGGTTTTTTTAATAGCTGTTTTGTGCTCCTGTCAGGTTCTTTCTGCTAACTACAACATTTTTGTGCTTCTAATTTCTTTCTGCTAATTTCAGCTTGTTCTGCTCCTTTCTGCCTATTTCTACAAGTTTCAGCTTTTTCTACTATTTCAGCTACTATTTAGAGTTTTACTGTATGCTCATTTAAGCTTTTTCAGCTAATTCCACTTTTTTTTTTAGCTCATTTCACCTCTTTCCACTTTCTTCTGGTAGTTTCAGATTCTTTCTGTCTTTTCAGCTACTTTTCGGCTAATTCTTTTTTGCTAATTTCAGCTGTGTTAGCCATTTTCCTCATTTTTGTGCTAGTTTCCACTTATTTAAACCAAGTTCAGCAAATGTGTTATTTCTGCTTTCTTCTGCTAATTTAGGCTTGTTCTTCCATTTTAGTGACATTTCAGCATGTTTTTATTCTCGCACTAATTTCAGTTGTTTTTCAGCAAGTTTATCGTCAATAAGCCTTCACATTGCATTTTCACAGGATTCTCTAGTTACATGTTAGAGTCACCCCAATTCAAGATGGCTGCCATTGCTAATTAACATTAACCAATAAAAAGATGACTGTAAAGGAGTCCATTTTATAAATATTAAGATACAATTTGGTGTGGTGGTAGCTGAGAGTTAACCTCAACACACACCCAGAGCAGCAGCGTCTTTGTTTAAGACTGTGGCATTAACTTTTACAGTTAACACTGTTAAACGATCTCATAAATTAGAGAATGGATTTCACAGAAACTTTCAGACAGTGGATGTACAACAGATTGATATTTGGAGTCAGCTTAGCGAAGGCTGCCACAGCTTTGCCAGCACAAAAATGGTAACTTATTACAAATTACAGATGTTGAGATAAAGCCTATTTGATAGAAGCAGGGGATCACCCTCAACACATCTCACAAGATGTTCAATTCTTACCCTGTCACGAAATGCGGCGTGCAATTGACCTTTAATTTATTTTTACTGTTCTGCTTCAGAAACATTTGCAGCATTTGCTCTGTGTACAGGTTCAGAGTTAAAGAAAACACACTTACGTCTTCGCAGGACTCTGTGGTAAATGCATCACACTTTAAGGAGGCAGGCCACTGAAAGCCAAACTTGTTCATCAGTGACTCGCAGCCGGCTCGGGCTCGCTCACAGAGGGTTCTGCAGGGGGGCTGGGCCCTTCCCAAGACACATTTAGGCACATAGACGGAGCACAGGAAAGGCTTAAGATCGGGGGAGCATTGCACTTTTACGATGGGGTTGAACTGATGCATCTCTAGGCTGGCATCCTCCTGCGTTTTGTGTCCTAGAACATTGGGCAGGATGGTCTCTGAGTAAAGCATGTCCGTACAGAAGGAGGCAGTGATTGTCTCACATGATGATGATGGGGTAACTTGAGTGACGGGGATGGCTTGTTCCTTCAGAAGTACAAAAAAACAAAACACAATTTAACATCAGTGAGAAACGCTACACCTCTGCTCTTTTACCTTTGTAAAACAAATAAACAGACCCTGGTGACCTTTGACCCTGAAGCAGGATTTGTTACATCATATTTAACTATAGCTTTTCTGTCTCACGAATGTAGTTCACCTGAATTTTAATTGTGGATTCTGAAAGTGATCATGCTCTTGTCTGTGTTTGTTTGTTTATACCATTAGAAAAACGTCTTATGAATCTGGAAATAGGCTTTAATTCAATTTTCATACAAGTAATTGGATGCACATACAACTGATGAACTTTTGGAGTCAAGGTGGCCGCCACAGCAACACAAAAATGGCCATAATTCAACAATTTTTTAAGGAAGTTCAGCTCAAATTCTGTGTGGTAGTAGCTGAGCATTATCCCAAACCCATACTTTGAGCGCAGCACATTGCTTTACATCTTGGCTTAACAGTTTGCCATTAACTTTATCTGCAAAATATTTCATGAACCACTGGACAGATTTTAATTAAACTTTCAGAAATAAATTATTATAGGCACATCTGCAACTGGTTAACTCTTGGAGCGAGTCCAGTTTAAGATGGCCACCACAGCTAATCAGCTTTAGCCAACACAAAAAGGAGCCATGCCCCAGAAAATTTTACACATAATAAGCTAAAATTAAGTGTAATGGTGGATTGGGAGTTATTCCTGATACATAGTCCAAGTGTTAACATATTATGCCAAATCATATGAGATATTGCATGAGGTTGTGCACAATATTAATTTCTCGGTTTAACCAAAATGTCTGTACCATCTTCATTTCTCAACTCAAGATGAACTCAGTCTAAAGCGCTGACATTCTTCATAGAGCCGGCGACATGCATTATTTTATTTATAATTTTACTGGTCATTGTCATTACATTTAGTTTCATTCTGTGTAGTCCAAAATGAAAAGCTGATTCAATCTTATGTGTATATTGATGACTGTGTCATGCTCAGTGTCACAAAACTTAGTACGACATCAAAGTTGTAGGATTATTAAACCAATTACCAAGCAATATCTCTGGTAGACAGAACTCGCGTTCAGCCCCCAGGATTATTTTTAGTAACACAAAATCCTTTGATTAATCAAAGTGTTTCTGTGGATTGACATCTTTGAAAAAAGTAACAGAGCCCAAACCCTGCACACTATAGCTGCGACATCTCATGTTCATTTGTGTCCTTACATTTCGAATAAACAGTTTAACATTAAACCTTCCTTTAATAATATAAAACTAACAGCAAATAAACGTGAGATAATAAATGGCTTTATATTTGTTTTCCACTCACCTGCACACAGTTGGACTCAGGCAGAGTGTCGCAGCGGAGCTTTGTCGGCCAGTACAGTCGTTTTGCTCTCAGAGGGGACTCGCACTCTCTCTTGACCTTCTCACAGAGGCTTCGACAGGGTTTCACCCGGTTTTCATCCTCCGGGCTGCATTCAGGTACGACCACACGACACATGAGCATCGCAATGTGAGGTGAACAGGCCGTCTCGACAATTTGACCGATTTGCTGCAGGTTGAAGCCTTGAACTCCGCTCGGATGAAGGGAAGAAGTGTATCCCAATCCCAGGCAGAAGTTAGTTGTTATTGGTTTGCAGCTTGTCCTGTCATTTCTCGTTGTTTGCACCTGTTGAGGAAAAACCTGCAAACACACAAAAACTAAGAAAAAGTGCTTCATGCTTCTTATGTTCAGTGCTGATTCTGAAAACTGTGGGAAGTTAAGTGCTACAACGTGCGCTGCTTTTCTTAGGAGGTGGAGAAAGAGTCTGCCAATTGGGTTTCTATGAAAAAGGTGGTGATTTATGATCACGGGTAAAGTCACAGAACAAGATGATGCTCAACACGAAATGAAAACCAAAACGGTCTCACAGCAGGGGCTCCGCTCTGAGAAATTCCAGTTAAAGTGACAAAGAGCCTTACGGTATGCGTGACATCTGGTTGTGATTGTGTGTTTTGTTAGACATCTGTTTGCAGAGGTTGGATGTTGGTGGGCTAAAAGGGTTTTATGTGCCAGTTGGCAAAATAAACATGAATGTTTAATTTGCTCCATTTTTATTGTTTTTCCTCAGAATTGTATACCTCTTCTCATAACAGGGTGAATGTTGGACAAAAATGGTGGCAAAGCATGATTTTAAATATTAGCAATTTGCTGAACATCTGAATGTGTGCCCAAGAAAAGTTTATTCTATAAAAATGAATATAATGAATATTTTAGAATAAGAGAATTTCAGGTAGAGTATAAGTATTACAACATTTCCTGTTGTGTGTTAAAGCAGTTACCGTATTTTTCGCCGTACATGTCGCATCAGTCCAAATATGTCTAATAAAGTGGAAAAAAACATAAATACGTTGCTTCGCCATATAAGTCGCATCTATTATGCGTCACCCCTGACGTGTCACTTTTGTTATGCGTCACCGTTGACAACCTGGAAATGTGGGCCGGTGTTGTGCCAAAATTCGATCGGCTGCCAAATGGCGGCGGCGGGAGCGTGCATGGGAGGACTTTAACAAGAATTTAACAAGATTAAAACTTAAAAACAATTATTTGTTTGCTCAAAATTATAATAAATGTGTGTCTCTGTTGAACTTTTACTTAATAAATGCACTTTAATGGTTAAATTAGCTACATTGTGCCGGGACGGCACAGAAAAATTAAGCTGATTTGAAGGTTGCTCTGGGCATGAACCCGGAGCTGGATGAAGCACAAATGTAGCTTTTATGGCAAGCCGATTGTGTCATTAATAGCCACTTTTTACATATTACATGACACAACGGCATGCCATACTCTTCGAGTGACATCTAGCGGCTGAAAATGGTAGTATTCAATATTGTCAATGTCTGAATGAATGAAAACTGTCATATCGCAGCCAAAATTTGTTTATAACTATGGGGAAAAGAACATAAATAAGTTGCTTCAGTGTATAAGTAACAGGGCATGCAAATTATGCAAAAAACTGCAACTTAAAGGTCAGAAAATACGATACCTGTTCACAAGACTCAGTGGTAAACGCTTCACACTTTAATGACTCCGGCCACTGAAAACCAAACTGTCTCATCAGTGGCTCGCAACCTGACCGCGCCCGTTCACAGTCAGTTCTGCAGGGGGGCTGGGCTCTTCTTAAGACACATTTAGGTGTGTACACTGAGCACAAGAAAGGTTTCAGGTGAGGGGAGCATTCTGCTTCTGTAAGAGGAACAAATTGTTGTATCTCCAGACTGGCTTCCTCCTGGGTTTGGTGTCCAAGAGTATTTGGCAGGATGGTCTCTGTGTAAGGCAGGTTCCTGCAGAGGGGGACAGTGATTGGCTGACATGTTGGCAGGGGAGGTTGAGTAACTGGGATTTCTTGACCCTGGAGAAACAGAAAAAATGGGTAATTCCATTACTATGGGATAGTTGATCCAGGTTCAAGTAATCAGTCTGCTTGCTAAAAATCATCACAATTCACCAACCAGCACACCTAACCCAACAACTGTTCTTAAACAAACCAACACTTTTTTTCTTTGGGAAACATCTTTTCTGCAACCTCTGTCCTCTCTCTATATCTACCTCCATGTTCTCTCTAACTGCACCCATAGATCTCATCTTCAGCCTTCCTCTTTGTCTTTTTCCTGGCAGTTGATTTTCTAACGTCCGTCTACCAATATATCCACTGTCCCTCTTCTGGACATGTCCAAACCATCTCAGTCTGGCCTCTCCAACTTTATCTCCCAGTTGTTCAACCTGTGCTGTACCTCTAATGATCTCATTCCTCATCTTATCCATCCTTGTCACCCCTAAGGACTTCAACATCTTCATTTCTGCCACTTCCAGTTCTGTCTCATCTTTTTGTCAGTGTCACTGTCTCCAGACCATACAACGGAACTAATCTTACCACTGTTGTGTAAACTTACATTTCTCCATCCACTTCTGGACTCTATTTTTTATTTCTTTGCCACACTTCCTGTTTCCTATAGCTGACCCCAAATATTCAAAGTCCTGCACCTTTGTGACTTCTGCTCCTTAGTCTTACTGTTCCACCTGCCTCCCTTCCATTCACACATATGTACCCTGTTTTGTCATGGCTGACTATCATACCATATTGTTGTCACCAGCAACTTCTTCCAGACCTTCCTATGCAATTAACAGCTGTTTTCAGGCCAGCTAGAAGTTGAATTCATTCATAGTCCTAGGTTGAACACAGCGTTTCCAGACAGATGTTCTGTTTAAGTTCTAAAGGGAGTGTCACAGCTTCAGGGCAACAAGATTAGTCAACCAATATCATCTATTTGCTATTGTTTGTAGGATAGATAAGCAATAATTACTATTCTTGTAGTTCAACCCAGAGAGCTTTATTTTCTGTTGTGTTCCTTGTACTATTGCTCAGAATTTATTATACAATACTGCAAGTTAAAAAGGATGAAGACAGATGAGTTAATGAAAAGCTTTGCCTTGTGTAAAGCTCATAGCACAGCTTCTTCACCACCAACATGCGTCACAGCATCTGCTTCAAACCTCCTGTTAATCTCAGACAAGACACAAGACTTGATTTATAGCCTCATAACTTAAAGGAACAAAGACAATGTTTTCCACAGAAGAACCATGACCTAAAGTTTGGAAACACTGATCTATTCCAGATGCATCACATTCAGCAACAAACTTGAACTTAGTGCTGGAAGTTGTGCTGCACCGTTTCCACATATACAATGTTCATTTGCACCCAAAATAAATAAATAAATGTCTTTTCAGTTTTCATGCCAGATGCCACGGTTACGTCTTGAAACACTGTCCATACAAATCTTGAATGAGTGAAAACATGCTACTGTGTAAATTTCATGCATAGCTATTAAAAGGCCAACTAAATAGATTTATACGCTGATATGCAGCCTGTGGTACTTCTTAAAATTTTTTGAAAGCGAGGTCCATAAATTATTGTACTGGAAACAATTTTTGTAATAACATCAGACAGTTATGATATGATGCAGTATTTTCTGTTTCTCAATGACCATAACATTTAAAGAAGTTGTGGTTTCTTATATTAATAAACACACTCAGATTTTACACACACAAGGTAAAATCCTTGTCGAGTTTTACTAACCTCTACACAGTTAGTCAGAGGTAAAGCGTCACACCGGAGCCTCATCGGCCAGAACAACCATTTTGCTCTTAAGGGAGACTCGCAATCTTTTTTGACCTTCTCGCAAAGAGCCCTGCACGGTTTCTTCTGGCTTTCATTTTCTGCTCCACATTCAGGTACGACCACACGACACATGATCGTGGCGATGTGAGGAGAGCAGGCTGTCTCCACAATCTGACCAATCTGCTGCAGGCTGAAGCCTTGGACTCCATCCGGATGAAGGGTAGAATTGTATCCTAAACCTTGACAAAAGCTGGCTGTTACAGGCTTGCAGCTTGTCCTGTCATTTCTTCTGGTTCGTGCCTGCTGAAGAAACAGTAGCAGACACACAACCACCAAAAACAAATGTTTCATGGTTCCTAAACACAACTCTGGACTGCTTCAAAGCTGTAAGATGTTTGGAACTAGTTTGTATGGGTTACTCTTCTTAGGAGGTGGAGTACAAATCCACAAATATGCTTTTCCATAAGAGGCAATGATTTAAGAACACTGGTATGGTTATCCATCATAAAGATGCTCAAAACAAACTGGTCTCAGAGCAGGAGCTCTCCCCTGAGAAATTTGATCCAAGGGCTCGTGAGCTCTTTGGCATGCACATTTGGTTGTAATGATGCGCTTTGAGGAAGAAAAGGAGGGGGTGTCATAAGGTGGTCTGGAAAACATTTCAGCAGTAATAAAATTTTAAAAAATCAGATGGCATGTATTAACATGGTGGGGCGGTAGTAGCACGCACACATGGATTTTTTTCTATGAGCTTCAGTTGCCTCTCGTAGTCCAAAAATGTATGTTGGGTTCAAAAAACGATCAATACAATTGTAACAGAAGACGTTTCGCTCCGAGGAGCTTTCTCAGTTCAAAGAAAATTGAGTGAGAGATTCAGGTTATGAGGCTGTCAATCGTCAGCAAATCCCAAAAAAAGTTGGGACAAGTCCATTTTTCCCACTGTGTGGCATCCCCCCTTCTTCTTACAACACTCAACAGACGTCTGGGGACAGAGGAGACCAGTTTCTCCAGTTTAGAAATAGGAATGCTCTCCCATTCATGTCTAATACAGGCCTCTAACTGTTCAATCGTCTTGGGCCTTCTTTGTCGCACCTTCCTCTTTATGATGCGTCAAATGTTCTCTATAGGTGAAAGATCTGGACTGCAGGCTGGCCATTTCAGTACCCGGATCCTTCTCCTACGTAGCCACGATGTTGTGATTGCTGCAGAATGTGGTCTGGCATTATGGTGTTGAAAAATGCAGGGTCTTCCCTGAAAGAGATGACGTCTAGATGGGAGCATATGTTGTTCTAGAACCTGAACATAGTTCTCTGCATTAATGGTGCCTTTCCAGACATGCAAGCTGCCCATGCCACAAGCGCTCGTGCAACCCCATACCATCAGTGATGCAGGCTTCTGAACGGAGCGTTGATAAAAACTTGGGCTATCCTTGTCCTCTCTGGTCCGGATGACATGGTGTCCCAGTGTTCCATAAAGAACTTCAAATCGTGACTCATCTGACCACAGAACAGTCTTCCATTTTGCCACACTCCATTTTAAATGACCCCTGGCCCAGTGCAAACTTCTGAGCTTGTGGAGCTTGCTTAGAAATGGCTTCCTCTTTGCACTGTAACTGGGTAACACCATTCTGGTATTGCTGCACTATCTTTCTGTGCAACAATGGTGGAATTGGTGATCCTCTTACCATCTTTGCTTCTGAGAGACACTGACACTCTGAGAAGCTCTTTTTAATCATGTTGTCAATTGACCTAATTAGTGTTAATTGGTCTTCCAGCTTTTCGTTATATGCTCAATTTCCTTTTTCCAGCCACTTATTGCTACTTGTCCCAACTTTTTTGGGATTTGTTGACACTGTGAAATTTTGAATCAATATATTTTTCCTTTAAAATGTTACATTTACTCAGACTAAACTTTTGATCTGTCATCTATGTTATATTACGAATAAAATATTGACATTTGCCATCTCCACATCGTTGCATTCAGTTTTTATTCACAATTTGTTTAGTGTCCCAACTTTTTTGGAATCCGGTTTGTATTTTGTAGTGTTGTGTTTATTAAAAAAAAAAAAAAAATTCCCTCAGAAGTGGTAACTCATACTAAACAATAAATCAAGGAAACATAAAAAAAAAAACAAAAAAAAAACAAAACATCAAATCAGCTTCATTTTGCTGCACCGCCCCAGTGAAATGTAACTAATTTGACTATTAAAGTGCATTTATTAAGTAAAAGTTAAACTGAGACACACCTTTGAACAATATTGAGCAAACAAACAATTGTTTTAGGTGCTCATCTTGTTAAATTTTGAAGAAATGCACAGCGTTCCTCCTTCCTGATTTCCTCCCTCAGAGTGCACGCTCGGAGCACTGAGGCAGCGAATACTTTTGAAATGCAGCTGATTTGACCATCAAAGTGCATTTATTAAGGAAAAGTTAGACTGAGACAAACCTTTACTATAATTTTGAACAAACTAATAATTGTTTTTAAGTGTTAATCTTGTTAAATTCTTGTTACAGTCCTCCCGTGCATGCTCCCGTGGCCGCCATTTGGCAGCCAGTCGATTTTTGGCACAACACTGGCCCACATTTCCGGGTTATCAGTGGTGACGTATAATAGATGTGACGTATATGGCGAAGCAACATATTTATTTATGTTTTTTTTTCCACTTTATTAAACATATTTGGACGGATGTGACTTAAAGGGCAGTGCGACATGTACGGCGGAAAATACGGTAACTCAAATCCCTTCACTTGGAATTTGTAAATAAGGATGTCATTTCATTCAAATATCCTCTAGCTTATAAAGCAGGGCTATTCAACTGGCGACCCGGGGGCCAAATCAGGCCCATGAGTAAACTCAGTTCAACCCACCAATGGGTTCATTTTTAAATAAAACTAGATTTATTTTTAACCATAAAACAAACTTAATGACAATAACTGCAGGGTCTCCAGCCCCTGAGCTCTTGGCTTTCAGTAACTGTGGCCCCCTCAGTAATGTAGTTGAATAACCCCGTTATAAAGCCTCATGTACATTTTGAAAGAAGATAAATGCTAAAAAATGCTGCTTGGGCAATAAATTAAAGCAAAATTTTATTCATTGTTTTGAAGTGAAAACAAGATGATGACTGACCTGTAAGTTCATTTATGACAGCAGATAAAACATCAATATGAAAAGACTGAGGTTTGGTCTGATATACATAAAAGAAAAGACAAACTCACGATTTACAGCTGAATTATGTCTGCACACCAGACGGTGTCGCAATTTCCTGTTAAAACAAAACCTTCTGTAACGTGAACTGATATCATATACGAGCAGACACTTTACAACTTTGTTTGTCTCTCAAAGCAATTAACACAACAATCCACACACTTTACACAACAATCTGTACTTAAGGAAACGACATATCAGGTGTTTTGTCCAAGAACATTTGGACTGGAAGCTGGGAGACTAATGGAGCTCTCCCTCTGATGTCAAAGTTTCTACAAAGTTAAAAACAAAGATGGGGGTGGGGATGCAATTTATTTATTTTCGTCCTTCATCTTGAGGGCTTCAGAGCTACCAGCACCAAGTTTCTAGGAGAAAAATTTGGGTTGAAGAGAGGAACAAGCTGGCTGTCCACATCTGCAGAGAGAGTGTTATTCATTTAGAGGAAGACAATTTAATTATACAAACATAAATTCAAAATACTTAATTTGACACAGTCCAATTCTCTCACCATTTTCCTGCAGGTAGATCATCCTGTCAAGCAGCACCAGCGTCTCCACCACAGGAGCCAACAGCTGGGTCAAGCTGAAGTACACCACCACCCTGCTTTGATGCTTCAGCATGGCCTCCACACGCTCCGGGTCCAGGGGTAAGTCAGGAGGCAGGCCGACCCGAGCCAAACCCAGACGGGCATATCTGAGACGAGGCGTGGATGCAAACACAACAAACAATAACATCAGTAAGATCTTGTTGAGAAGCGATACCACCAAAACTTTTAATGATAATAAATCTGCTAAAATGAAAAGCCTTCATAACTGGAGGCTGCAGCGTTCACTCACTCTGTAAAAGGTAATAAGTGGGCTTTCTTTATTGTCTGGATTCCCGCTCTGCGTAGCTCTGGTCTCGTTTCCCTCATGAACGTCTCTAGAATCGCTCGGTAACAGTGCGTCCTGAGCAACGCGCTTCCCTCCCGTAGCCTTCGCACATAGTCCTCCACAGCATGACAGGCCCCCTCCCGGGCCTTATAGGACAGCTGATGTCCGGGCAACCCCCGCACCCAGGAGCTCATCGGGTAGCCAAAGTCAGAGAGAACCGATTCAGAGCCCGGTGTGAGTGAGGAAGGTGGTGTGACGAGCCCCGGAGGGGTGGGATTCTCTTTGGTTGTAATTTTCATGTAGCAACAAGCCACAGAGGTGATGCCACGAACATGTGGGCAGCTGACAAAGTGGCGAAGGAGGGTGGCGCTGAGGTCACCACAGGCATGCAGACCAGTCAACACAAAGTCCTGAGAGTCTTGCAGGCCGTTTTCCCCTTGGCCAGCAGCTTTTTCAAAAACAGGATGGTTACCTGAGCAACAGTTCCCCTCAGACAGCTCCTTTTTATTCTTGTTCAAGTCTTGTGAGAGGCCGTCAGGGTCAGTGGAGCCAGGACAGTGTGAAGTCTGCATGACATCAGAACATTTGAGGTGGTCACAGCCTCGCAGTCTCTTTTTGCTGGGGCCTGGTGGAGTTGGAGATCCATCACTGACATGACCCGCAGATTTTAGCTGTTTGATAAAATTCTCCCATGAAGCCTTGGGGTTCACCCAACCAGCCACATGGTGTGGAATGGGCAGCGTTTCAGGAAGTTGGAAAGAGCAGTTCTGTGACGAAGAAAGATTTTTATTAGTGTTGGACTTCTTGTGAAATAATGGAGGTAAAACGTGCACATTTCTATCTCAATGTTGGTACAAAGAAAACAATACATACAAGATTAAAGCTATTTAAAACTGTGAAAATCACCTCAATTACTTCATACTTCTGCAGCTTCTGAGCTCTACAGCTCAATATATTGTTTGACTTAAGTTTATAATTACATACAGTGTCGTTTTAAAGCAAAATAAATTCATCAAATGAAAACAACTCTTCCCACAGTATGTCTGTCATGTTTTTGTCATTGTAGTTTAGAATTTGACTCTTGCTGCCACTAACTGGTCAATACCAGGCACTACAGGTTCAACGTTTTTAAAATACTACGTTTGTATAAGTTCAAGTGTATGACTGACTTTAAAAAAAGATGCTGTTTCAATGCCCTACTTTAACTAACTCTACATGGCAACTTTCATCATGATTCAGCTGAGAAGACATTCTACAAATATCAGTAAATGTAAATAATGTGAATAAATCTGAACATCTGTAAATATGAAAGCCTTCCTAGCTCTTAGGGACAATTTTATGATCTTTTTATATGTTTCTAAGAGATATGCACCAACCTTTTTCTGCTTTTCCTTCTGCAGGACCCACTGTAACTCATTATCATATCTGTAAGCCATGGAAACTAGGGTGCGATCAGCCTCAATAGCAGTCACAGACAGTCCAAGCCCAAAGGACAAGAAGCGAGTTAAATGACCCTGTTCGGAGCAAAATGTTGGAACGGATGTGATGTTTGTGAAATTTTGAAACACCCTAGAACTCTGCTGATGATTTGTGTGCTGTATTGTTGTTAAACTTATTGTAAAAGTCTTCAGTAAATGTACACGTTTAAATGCTTCAAATTGATCATAAATTCAAGCATGCAAAGGTAACCTGCCCAGAGCCCACATCCACCACTCTCCTGCAGCCCGTCTGATCACAAAGTTGTTTAACCAGCTGTGAAACAAAAGAAAGATTTTAAGCACTCGAAAAATAAATCAGCAAAACATTTAAATCCCTTTATAGAAACAACTAACAGTGACGGGAATGTACCATGCCAAGCTTTCGGATCTCATGCTGTTTCTTGGGTTTAACATGTTTTCTGAATATGTGCCCCAGCAGGGAGCTCTGACACTGGTTTTCCATGAACTCCTCGGGCTTCACCGAACCAGACACCCTGCCTCGGTCACGGCTGGACTCTCTGGGAAAGGCCAGGGCATGAGCAGTAGCACGGAAGGCCAAAAGAGACAAGGGCCAAACTGCAGGATACCTGTAATACAACAAATCTCTGTACTTATCATTCATCTCATTGTCAATAGATTTTATTGTAATGGCAGCAGTACCTTCTGTCATTATGAGAAGCATCCAGTAAAAGGTCAGCAATCTGTGGATATGAAAGGTCCTGCAGCACAGTCTGCCAGGTTCTGGGTAACGTGTGCCACAAATTTTCAGAGAAGAACTCCTGCAAGGAAAACAACAGACTGATTTTAACTTTTTTTAATGTATAAGATTGTTTCAATGCATTGTTTTCAATTTTGATGTCCTATGTTCAAAAAAAAAAAAAAAAAAAAGGCATGCAGATTATACATACAATAATAAAGGAGTCGGTCAAGTAGCTGTACTGAGACACAAAAGTAGTGAGTTTCTTCGCCAGTTCTTTCTGCTGAACGGAAGAGAAACTTGATGTAAACACGTCCACATCCTGTGCTGCTGCCTCTTCTTCTGACATGGGACTTGTGGAGCTAATGCTAACATGCGTTAGCTTGTTAATTAAAGCCGCCTTCCTGATCCAATTAAAACTATATAAAATATCGTATGTGTTACCAGTCCGTTCTTAAAACGTACAGCTTTAATGCTACACAAAATGTTTTAACGAAAACAGGTTGTTACTTTAAAATGCTAGCTAGACACAGCCGGCATTTCAAAATCTTCTTCTTCTTTTGTTTTATGGCGGTTGGCGGACCAACTGTACGGTGCATTACCGCCCCCTACTGAGCTGGAGTGTAAATTAAATTCTCTCTATTAAGTATTTTTCAAGAAAATAATTTGGTCTTTAACTTTACTGATATCACTACTAAAAACATCCCTAATTGCAAATTTAATATTCATTTTATTTATTTATTTTTGGAAATGCTTTCTTGCTGTTTCATACTGCAGGACATTCCATAAAGACATGTTGAACTGTTTCAGTGATATTACTGGTGCATTTGTCACATAGTCCTGTTGCATGCTTTCCAATTATTTTAAGAGATTTATTAAGGCCTGTGTGTCCTATTCTAATACGAGTAATTATTGATTCTAATTTCCTGTTTTTCTTGAATATCTTACCTTTTTCTGAATGTTATGCAAATGTCTTACTGTATCAGTAATGTCCCAGTTTTCCTGCCATATTTTCTTAATATATGTATTTATTATCATTTTACATTCATCTTTTCATAATATGAATATTATTACCCCAGTAATAGTGTTACATACGTTAGTACCATACCATACCATTTTATTTATAGAGCACTTAAAACAGCGACAAGGCCAACCAAAGTGCTGTACAGACAGAACAACAGGTAACACACAAAGCAAAATACAAAATGAAGTAAATCAGAAATATAGACATAAAAACGATGCAGATAATGACGACTAACCAGTGTGGAGCATACAGGTTCAAAACACAGATCATCTGGTGTTGAAAGCTACAGAATAGTAGTGATTTTTTAAACGAGGCTTGAAAATCGAGAGGGAGGGGGCCTGTCTGACAAGCAGAGGTAACTCGTTCCAAAGTCTTGGTCCTGCTGCAGAGAAGGCCCTGTCACCTCTGTGCTTAAGACGAGTTCCTGGAACTGTGAGGAGCAATGTCCGCTGACCTCAGGGAACGTGGTGGGACATACGGTTGTAGCAGATCAGAGAGATGGGGGGGCGACACTGTTCAGTGATTCAGTGATTTGTAGACATACAGGAGTATTTTGAAATGGATTCGAAAGTGAACCGGTAACCAGTGCAGTGAGGCCAAAACTGGTGTAACGTGCTCTCTTTTGCTTGTACTGGTTAAAAATCGGGCTGCTGCATTCTGGACAAGTTGCAGTCGTGCAATGGAGGTCTGACTGATACCAAACAGGAGCGAATTGCAATTATTAAGCCTAGATGTAATGAATGCATGTATTACTGTCTCCAGGTTATTTTTGGACAATATGGGCTTCAGTTTAGACAGCCGCCTAGTAGTTGTAAACACTCTAAATAATACATATGTTGGTTTAGTGCTTACCTTTAACCTAAACCTTTCATTAGTAAACATCTTTAATAATCACTTTAAACGTTATAAATGTTGTTTTTAGTGCCTGTTTTGTTTTCCAAATATATTAGTGAGTGTGAATGACACTGGCATGAACATAAAACACTTTGTAGAACGGTGCTTTATGAAGTTCAGTCTATTTTCTTCTTTCAGTTGACCGGCAGTCACTTCTGCCACATCCAATATGGCGGCCGCTCCGACGTACCGCTGCAACGGGCTAGACGAGGTGTCCACTAACTGCCTCACCAATTCTCTGTTGTGAACGCACTGGCAGATGATGGAGAAAGGTCAGGGGAGCTTTGCTATGAAATAATAATGAATGATTGTTTGAAATGTGTTTAATAAGTTAACTCAAAAACCGCCGACCTGACTCCAAATCCGCCCAAATTATCCCACCCGCCCAAAGCAATTTTTACCCGCAAAATCGGAATGAAAACTGCCCAAAATGGCGGTAAACCGCCCAATCTTCTTCCGAATCTCCCGCGCTGACTAAGAAAACGGTACGTCACTCTTTATGAAATCCAGATGCATTTAAGGACTTCACGTATTTTCGTCAGTCTTTGTAATGACATGGTTACAGATCTTATTCTAATATATTCATGAAAAATTAGTGCAGTATTTTAAGAAAACTTGTAATTTATTTGGAATATCGACACTTTTGTGAGTTATTGTGAAGCTCTTTTTATAGCGCAGTTGGGTATTATTACAAAAATTATACAGCATATAATAGTTCCGATGCTACCGGTTGTCATTTAAGGCAACATGCCCCGGATGTATAACGTTAGTTGACAGAACTCCTCCCGTGTTCCAGTTGTTCTTCGACAGCAGGTCTGGTTTTGTGTTTCATATAATTTTTTTTTTAGAGATTTATTTTGAGGGTATCTATCGTTATCAACTTGTAAAAGTTCTGAAACCGACTGAGCGAACTTTTCCATTCAGTTTATTTCATTTTCAGCAGTTATGTTCACTTCCGGCCGGCATTAGCAAGCTAACGTTAGCTTCGATTAACGGCGGTAAACAGGACTGAAACTAACGTCCAATTATAAAGTGAAATGTTGCATTCATGAGGATATTTGGATTTAATTTTATTTTACTGACATTTGCGTGTCGTTTGCCATTGTATGCCCCATTTTAGTAATGTTACTGCAACAACAAGGTAAACATAAATTAATTTTGGTCTTCTATGTCATCTTTGTGACTGTTGGCAGTTTGTTTTTCACAACAATGAAGAGTATAGTTTTCGCATTCTGAACGAAGATCACGTTGGTTTTATTTAATAGAGACAGCCAATCTGGCTTGAGTTGTGTATTTTGCCAAGTCCCAAAAATATATTTACTGTCATTTAAATAAATTTAATATATTTTAGAGGCAAAGTACCCATACAGTAGATAACAACGTATCAAAAACTCCTGTTAAATATAAATATTGGCATGTCAAGGTCCTTCACTCAAAACAAGGTGGATGAGAATCTGTAACAAGTGTTTGATCATGTTTTTGTCTTGCAGGACGATGCGTTTAAACTGACTTCAACTGATACAAGCAGGAATACAAAGGAGGGAGACCTGTTAAGGCTTTCAGAATAGACAGGCCTTTGTTGCATTGAGGAAAAGATTGCATTCAACATGTCTGACATTATGATCAACATTTGCTCTTCTGATGACACCTCTCAGTGGACTCATCCAACAGGAAAGGAGAAGAGGCCATTTCATGAAAAGATGCAATACTTAAAGGCAAATGGCTACCTTAAAGATAAACAAAATAATACATATAAGAAACACTCAAACAAGGATCAATATCCACACGAGAAAGGAGCAAAAACACAACCTGGACCACCTCCCACTGCCACACAAAACAGAATTTTACCTTATTTGCCCAACACTTCTAGTGCCTTTCACAGTAGCTCCAGGCCTTCAATGTCCTCTGTTAACCTACCATCAACGGCTTTCACTGTGATAAACAAAGGCAGCCATGAAAAGCCAAATGAATCGGTGAACAAAAATGCAACAATGCCCAACCCTTCAGTGTCAGGAAGCCATAAACCAGCCACAACATTTGTGGGGATGGGGAACCCCACAAAGTACCTCGCTATTGACTGTGAAATGGTGGGTGCCGGACCCAAAGGCAGCATCAACCAGCTCGCACGCTGCAGCATTGTCTCCTATGATGGAGATGTGGTCTATGATAAGTTCATCAAGCCCTCCATGCCTGTCACTGACTACCGCACAAGATGGAGTGGCATTCGGCCCAGAGACCTAATCAAGGCCATACCATTCTCAGAAGCCAGAAAAGAGGTGGGGGAGAAAAAAAAATAGATATAGATAGATATATAGATATAGCTTTAGCCTTTTTGCAGACATACAAAACATAGTGTGTATCCACTGTCTTGTTACACTTGATTTAATGTACAAATAGGACTTGAAGTCTTAGATTATTCTTTATTCTAGGACTTGTAGGAGTAGCTAGCAGTTTCTTCAAGTGATTTAAAAAAAAAAAAAAACTAGTTGACTGTTTCAAGTTTTTATAATGACAACCTAAGCAAACTAAAACATTGTCCTTGTACAGTGTATTTGTATTAATGAGCATAACCCAAACTAGAAAAAGTAATTGCTGAGAATATTTTAAGATTTCTAATTTAAAACTTAAGCTAGACGAGAGAATATCTATTTCTGTAAAAACACTGATACTAAACAAAGGCAAATTTTGTTGAATTAATAAATGCCTAAGGTTGCACAAGCAATTGTATGTGTGGTTCTTTAACCATAAAGATCTCAGTTACTTGAAATGTTTCTTTCTTTTGCTTCCACAGATACTGAGGCTGCTTATGGGCAAGGTGGTTGTTGGCCACGCCATCTTCAACGACTTTAAAGCCATCAGTTATACTCACCCCTCTGTCCTGACAAGAGACACTTCCAGAATCCCTCTTCTCAACCTGAAGGCCGGCTTTGGTGAAAAAGAATGTGCTTCGCTGAAGAGACTTACCAAAGCCATCTTCAACCGAGACATCCAGGTATGCAACAAGATCCGTTATGTTAAGTAGGGAATGGAACATAAAATTAGTATATTTTCAGCTGTAAAATCAGCTGTTTTCCTCTGATTTGATTCAAAAGATAATAAATACACCTCAGTCTTTCTTTTAAAATACGTAATATCCTTAAATATTTATCAGAATGGACGTGTCCATAATTTCGGCTGTGTTAAAAATGTATTTCTTAGTTCAAAGATGTTGATATGCACTTTTTTAATTTCCTGCAACCCACAAAATAAAATTCTCAGTGGTAGGTCTCTGTCAGTGTTTGATCCATTTGATCCTCACTTGGGCTTTTGATAATCTAGTACCGTTAAGTGTAATTTTGTGCCCAAATCTGATTTTAATAACCTTTGTGCAGTGAAGGCCAGTGGCACTTTTTTTGTGTGCCTCCTTATAAGAGGTTGGGGACTGTATGCTGGTGACCATGAAATTATGTACATATCAAGCTGTGAGAGTAGTTACTCTTTGAAATATTAAACGGTTGTTCCTACAGATGAATAAAATGTCCACTGCTTAAACCTGAACCTGTTGTTCTTGTGTCCTCAGGTTGGAAAGAAGGGCCACTCTTCTGTGGAGGATGCTAAAGCCAGCATGGAGCTTTATAAGGTGGTGGAACAGGAATGGGAGAGGATTCTTCTCTCCAGATCACAGGCTACTTAGTTCTGTTTGATGAGACAGCATCACAATAAAGTCAGTTTATGCTTAAATGTTAAAAACTGCTTCCAATGAAAATTAAGGTTTTTACTAGGGGTGCACCGATTGCAGTTTTCTGTCCGATCACGATTTCTAAAAAGTCTGACCTGCCGATTCTGATTTTGGCCGATACTAATTTTGTTTTATAATCGACACTGCCAGATGTTATAAAGTCATAATGCACCTTCAATTTTCCAATATTATTTTAATGAAAAACATGCCATTGAACAATATCCTAGAAACAATACAAACTTGTTTTAACTGGCCGTGAGGTAGTGCTTTGAAATATAAATGAAGTTCAGACAATTGTTGTTAAAACTAAAAAAAATTGGTAAAACCGGTTTCTCGTGCAAGTACCGGTCGATTTCCTAAAATTAAGGAAATTGGTGCACCCCTAGTTTTTACCTAGCAAATGTTTCCATATGTTGATCATTATGAGCAAAATACAGTAGCTTTCACCTCTGTTGATGAGAATTTTCAACTTTGAACTGCAGTAAATAGCAGTTTATTATGCAAAAAAAAAAAAGTTAAGTTACCTTTCTCTTCATTTTGACTTATCTGAGCAGATTTATGTAACACAAACAATGGATTATTTGTTGTATGCTGATGTAGTCTTTCTAAACTATAAAGCACAATTTTAGCTGCTGCAATGATGTAAGTACAATGATCCAGCTTTTGAAAGTGTGGTGAAAGTGCAGGTATTCATCTAAGTCAGCATGAGAGGGTTTTTTTTTGTTTTTTACGTAGTTGATGTTGGTTTTAAAAGATGGTGTCCTGTTTTGATTTTTTAAAAAGCTGCAGGATTATTATTTTTTTTTTTCATCCATCCATCCATTTTCTTCCGTTTATCCGGGGTCGGGTCGCGGAGGTAGCAGCCTAAGTAGGGACGCCCAGACTTCCCTCTCCCCAGCCACTTGGGCCAGCTCCTCCGGGGGAATCCCAAGGCGTTCCCAGGCCAGCCGAGAAACATAGTCCCTCCAGCGTGTCCCGGGTCTTCCTCTGGGTCTCCTCCCGGTGGGACACCTCACCAGGGAGGCGTCCTAACCATAGATGAGGGTAGGAATGTGGATCGACTGGTAAACTGAGAGCTTCGCCTTGTGACTCAGCTCTCTTCACCACGACAAACCAGCACAGCGCCTGCTTCACTGCAGACGCCGCATCTTTTTTTGTTGTTTTGTTTTTCATGTCCGTGTCTTTTTGAACTTTGCTCCAGCAGAAAATACTTTTCCAGAACGGCAATTTTTTTTCTCTCGGCTGCACAAAGTGCATGTTTAAAGGTTGGCAGAGATCCATGTGGGTCATCGTTTAGCTCCGGAAGCACGTGAGGCAGGTAAATATCCAGGTTAGCTGCAGAAGCTGAAACTGAGTTGTTGAAGCTAAAAAAACAGAACGCTAGCTAAACGTAAAAAAAATAGCTAAATGCTAGCTCAAAGCCAGCAGCGAGTAAGAGCAGTGTTCTGAAGGAACTGAAGAGAAGAAATGTTCATGTGAAGAAAATGTATTTGACGGAGTTTAAAAACTCAACTTTTATACTGAAAGAATAATTTTTTTAAGCTTCTTTCGGATCTTTTATTTACATATAAGAGGGTATAAACAGTTGTCTTTTTGAAATGTAATATTCTTTCTCAGGGTTTACATTGCGTTTAAATGGTGCTCCTGCCTCTTAGGTGCAGTCGTGATTTTTTTTTTTAGCCACAAATGTAAGTCTTTGAAAAGAAAAGTTCTTCTAAAAAGATCAGTTTAATGGTGTCACATGGACCATGTTTCTCTAATGATCAGTTCTTTCTGACAACATTTGTCTCTTGTCGTTCTTTTAACAGTTTTAGTCTTGTTTTTTTGTCCTACATCCCAGTTTTTGATTAACCAGTAGTACTGTTCAGGACCAGGATTAGAGAAAACCCAAAGTCACGAGTTTTGAATTGTTTGACTGATCACTTCAAAAGCATTTCTTAATGTAAAGATTTTTATAAATGCAAGAATATAAACAATTTTTTTTGGAGATACAAAATGCTAAAAAAAATAAATATGAATATTGTAGCACAATAGGTTCAGTTGGATTAAATATACAGATGACTAAATAATGAAAGAATTAAAATAGATCTTTGCTAATCAGTAGGTTACGTCTACCAAAAATCAAAGTGTCACACAAGTGGATTCCTTAAACCCTTGAATTCTCCAGAGGACAGGACTTCACGGCCTCAGTAAGAGTTTTGAGTCTGATGTTTCATGTACTGTTGATAATCATCGTCCTGCTTTTCAGGTTTCAAACTATGGCTCCTCGTGATCGTCACTTCTGTTTTCTTGTCGAAGTTGCCCTAAAGATAAATTCACAGTTGAACTATTGTATTCGTGTGTGTGTGTGTTTTGGAATCGTTATACATCACGTAGTGATCAAAGTTACACATTCAAAACATTAATTTCAAAGTTTGTAATTTTTTTGAAAAGCAATTAAAACATTTTATTGACTCATTTTGCTCTCGCTGCTTTTGCAAGTCTTCCCTCCCTCCCCAGGGTGATCGGTACAAACACAAACAGGATTTGTTTATCTAGTCTTTGTTTCTTTCAATCACCAGCTGAGTGCAAGGGTCTTGATGGTGAATTTGAATCCTGCGTGTGATTTCAGAGCAGTATGTCGATGTGAATAATACGATAAATGTTTTTAGTTTTCAAGAAGAGTGTTTTTGATCTCCCAGTTGTTCGACCTGTGCTGATCTCATTCCTAATCTTATCCATCCTTGTCACTCCTAAGGAGAACCTCAACATCTTCATTTCCACCACTTCCAGTTCTGTCTCCTGTCTTTTTGTCCGTGTCTCCAGACCATACAACACAGCTGGTCTCACCACTGTCTTGAAAACTTTTCCTTTGACCTTTGCTGCCACTCTTGTCACAAATCACAGATTTCTTTTTTTTTTTCTCCATCCTGCCTGGACTCTTTTTCACCTCTTTACCACTCTCCATTTTTCTGGACTGTGGACCTAAAGTACAGGTCCTTCTTAAAAAATTAGCATATCATGAAAAGGTTCTCTAAACAAGCTGTTAACCTAACCATCTGAATCAACGACGTAACTCTAAACACCTGCAAAAGATTCCTGAGGCTTTTAAAAACTCCCAGCCTTGTTCATTACTCAAACACTTTTAGTGCAGAGAAGCTTGGCAATTAGTTAGAAAGAGACCAAATATCACAAATACCTTTCTGCAATAACCAAAATATCCAGCATCACTTTTTAAAAGAAGGAATTAAAAATAAATAACCCGCTCAAATTGAAGCTACAAAGACCATCTAGACATGAACAGGAGAAACGTTAAAGCTTTTCAAACTGGATCCAGCCTGGTGGAGCTGCTCACTGGTTTTCCCTCCAACCATTTTGGCTAATTGATGAATGTATCACGTCTTTCAGGTTGATGGACACGTCATCTGAAGTGATATAGACTTAAGTCAGAATCTAAATGCCAATAAAGGATTTTAAACTGCTTCAACTTTTTGGTTACTAATGAGCACGAAGAGGAAAACAAACTATATTGAACCGGACTTGAAGTAATTTTATATTTTATAGTACTCTGAGATGACATTTGTTGTGAAACGGGTGGTATATGAATTAAATTGAATTTGTTTTAGGGCAAACGTGAAAAGCTCAACAAATAGTTGCTATAATTATTAAAACTGATAGCCAGAGATAAACCGTTTTCTATATGCAGCTTTTTTTTTAAATTGCATGAATTAAATCTACATTATGATTTGAATTTTCCATTTAAAGTTGGATCGTTATTAAAGTGTGTATGTCTCGCCCTGTTCATGTATTTTCTCCAAACTGATCTTGAAAAGTCCTTTAGCGGTTTAAAGCTAAAGAAGATTATATGATTATAAGCTGTAATATTAAGAGCTGGAAACATAAAAGCACTGCTGCTCTCTGGGAAATATAGATTTTAAGGAATGTATCACCCCCTGTTGTATCACTTCAAGTTAACACTGAAGTTTTCTTTAGTCTTCTCGTATACAAACATCACACAGTGTATATATCAGTCATGGCTCAGCAGTATGATTCGATTTTTATTAAAACAGGGAGGAATTTTTCCATTCTGCAGCTTTTACCTAAACCTTCAGCTGCTACCTGGGCTGATGTCGAGCTCGGCTTATGTGGCTCTTAATCGATTAGTAACAATCACCCAGCAGGACATAAGGTTCTTTGAAGTAAGCTTTGTTAATTAGATTGGACTTGATTTTTTAAAATAAAAGCATATTTGAAAATGCAACTTTGAGGTTTCAAGTATCTAAAACTGAAAGTCGAGCATTTTGGAGCCCCTCATAAGATTAATGTTTTGTCAAGGTTTGGGTTTTGTGTGTGTTTGCTTCTTGTTTTGTGTTTTTGTGTACCCCTATTTTTCAGTCATGTATCAGAATGTTTCGGTTTTTGTGATCATGTTATGTCAGATCTTAGTTTAGTCGGGGGGCACCTGTTACCTGTACAGACTGACAGTTGTTGGTTTTATTTTCTGCTCTGCACCTTTGGGTCCTCAATCCAATTCTTTAAACACAACTTGTTACATGTTATCAAAGTTCAGTTAGTCCTTCTGCAACAATCTGCCCTGGAAATTTGTACGGTACCATTTATGCATTTAATGTAAAGTTCCAAAGCTCAATAATCCAGGTACAAATCCAGCAATGGTCATCTAGACGGACTGAAGAAGTCCTTTGGATGAAGGACGAAACATCTCAGCAAAAAAAAAACAACAACATCCAGATGACCTGTCTGAACATTGTTGGATTTTTACTTGGATTATTGAGCATGGACTTTGGTGTTTTTAACCATTTTGGCATGGCTGCTTATAGAGTAGTGATGGGGGAGAGGGCAGGCCCCAGAAACCATCTTATCACCAGCAAACTGTTTTATTTTCCACTATGGGAGTGTGGCACATGTGAGATTCCAGTTTGTTTGTGACTCCTCGGACTGAAGAAGTCCTTTGGATGAAGGATAAAACTTCTCAGCAACAACAACAACAAAAAAAGAAACCGTCCATGATGATCTGACTGAACATTATTAATGTAAACTTGTATTTACTTCTTGTTTATTAAGTCAATTTTAATTTGAAGGGGGTGATTATGTTCTTTTCAAAACGGTGTTCAGGCTTGTGCTATAAAAAATAACACAATATGGGCTTATTATTTATTACTTCGTATTTTAACTCAAGACCAGGTTTAATGACCCAACATGTACTCTTTAAAACTCTTGTATAGTAAGTTGAGAAAACTGTAAGTACTCTGTGTTCATCTCATTATTACAAACTGTAATTAGTTCATTAATTTAGCCTACATTGTAGTTAAAAGCACAATAGGTAGTGGTTTTCAAAGTAAATATGAGCTAGTTGAAACTTTGTCAAAAACCACTGATACTACCGGCTAAGATTGCTTCTTCTGCCCCCTAGTGGCCAAAAAGTATATTGCGATCACAGTTTCAGCTATAAATTATTTTCAAACAAAGCAGTTATAAAACAAATTGTTGTTAATTGTCACACTGTTAGATTTAATTTCAAATTTAAAGTGTAAAATTGTCAATTAGAATAATTGACTTCAAATGGCTTTATGAGTTCTCCTTGAGGAGGAGGAGGAGGAGGAAGGGGGAGGTGGGTGTGCTCAGTGAACAGCTCTCATCCCGGGTCCCTCTCTTCACCTCCCTCCTCGTGGCGGCGGGGAACATCTCGGCCTCTGTAGCACCCAGGGGCTGCTGGAGGTCCTGAAACAATAAAAACCTGCACGTGCCTGAAGGTTTCCACCAGAAGCAGCTTCCGACGCGCAGACTGAGAGTTTCAACATGAAGTAAGTCCAATCTGTTGGATGCAGCACAGCATCACTGTGGATGGGGGCATTTATTTATTTGTTTAGTTATTTTGAGCTAATTTTGCACCAGTATTGTCTTTGCACAGATCATAGGTATCTTCACAAAGCAAGACATGAGGTAAGATGAGTAAATTAATTCACTTGAATGTCACCTGCTGAAGCATCAGAGAACTGCACTCAGTCAGGAAAAGTACAGAAAATATATAAAACGATGCTCACCATGCACTGCTTGTACAAATTATTATTGTTGTTGGTTAACTCTGGACTAACATGCTGCTTAGACATACTGATGATAAAAGTTGCTCAACGTTTTAACTGGTTTTCTGTCCTTGTCATCTTTTATGCAGCTGTTACCAGAATGCACTTTAATTTAATCTGACTTTGATCTTTGCAGCCACAGATTTATTTTCTTTTAAATTTTCTCACATTCATTTAACATTGAGACATGATGTGGTTTTAAACCTTTAAATTAATTTTGTATAATTTATTTTTATCATCCTTGTGTGTGTGTAAAGATCCCGAGCTTCCTGCTAGAGAAAAGCTACATAAATGTAATTTAATTGATTGAATGGAAAAAAGTGACAAAAATAAAGACTTGTTCTTATTCCGTCGGTCCGTCCATCCATCCAGCCATCCATCATCTTCCGCTTGTTCCAAACTTATTTTTAGTATAAATGTCCTGTGATGGACTGGAGACCTGTCCAGGGTCCCGACTCTCGCTCAGTGACTGCTGGATATGGGCACCAGTAACCCTTGTGACCCAAAAAGGAAGTACTGGGTAAAAATAACGGAGGGATGGATAAATAAACTAATTCTTAAACACGTTTGTCACTGAAAACTATTTTTTTTAAATTACAGGTTTTAAACCATCACAAACTGGAGGCTTTATGAGTCTCCATTACTGTTTTAAGAACTTTGCAAAAAAGATTAATGATGTCCCTACTGGAACATATGAGCTCAAGTTTATTGTCATTCACATCACATGTGGTGGAACGAAATTATACTCGGGGTCCCAGTTGTACTGAACAATAGCAAAAATATAAATTGTCTAAAAAGAACAGTATATAAGGATCTAAGATATACACTAAACACTAATAATGTAAAACAATACGACGTAACAGCAGCAGCCTGAACTCATTATTACAGTATGTGTAAAACCTGCAGCAAAAAGGGTTACATGATTTTTTTAATCAGATAATTTTTTGTTCTGATGTAAAAACTTTTTTTAATTATGTCCTCAAATTTCTTTACATTCAGCTATAGATCTGCAGATTTACCTACATTGTGGTCAAATGTATCCAGTTTTCAGAACTTTTAAACGTAAGCTTTTCTTTCTGGTTTCCCAGTAAAACACAAAGACGCTGACTTCGTATTGGAGCAGTAGATCATGCAGCAGTTTGCTTCTCCACAGCAGCTGGATGGATGCAAATTCTGCTTGCTTTGATTTGTTTTCCACCCTGTCTGAGGCGGAAAACGTCACAGCCTCACCAGCTTGTTGCACTCAAGCCGAGAAGCAGCTGAGTCCCTCAGCTAACAGCTTTCATCAGAGCTGTAAGAGTTCGGTCTTCTGGCACGGCGAGTCAGCAGCTAACAGCTAATAAGACATGGCTGCTGCTTGAGGCTGACCGGTGAACTGTTCCAAGTCATTCTTGTGAACCTAACATCTCTCTCAGCTTTCAGTCATGCTGTATGGAGCCTCTTTCTTTCTTGCTGCTCCATTCTTTTTTTTCTGAGAGGTCTCTCTTGCTCCCAGCCCTCCCTGGCTACTGCTTGCTTCCTGTCAGATTGTTTCTGTTAAGGGGGGGATTCAAGTTGCCCTTGGAGATGGGCTTCCTTTGAGGTGATGTGATGTGGGTCTGGTGGGCCGGGGTGACGAGGGGCAGCGCAGGGTAACGACGGTGGTCCATGCCGTGAGAAAATGAAGGAGTTGCTGGGGGGTCAGGCTGCTTTAATGGGGGCTCAGCAAGTGGTCTTGCACCCATTCTCAAATCTGAATGACAGAGGCGTTGGAGGCGCTGTTTGATGCTTTGGTTATGAGTCTGAAAGACTTTCGGTGTCAACGAGTTTCTTTTTTTGAAGTGTTGAATTAACCTATTCAGTTTGAATTATTACAAAAAAAAAAAAAAAAATCTTAACCAGAATTCATACAGCTTCTATTTTGTGGCTTAAAAGACAACACTTTCTAAGCATTAACCAGATTATTGGTCTTGATTCAGCATATTACAAGAAAAACGGGGCTTTTTGTCGGCACAATATTTCTTAGTATTCTCAGAAATGCCCCTTAAAGAGGATTTTAAAGAGTTGCTCCCCCCATGCACAGCTTCTAAGCTAATTTTTGAATTGCCAATAAAATGTAAATTTCCCTCAGAAATCAAGATGACATGAATTATTTCTGATTAGTAGAGCATGTTACTTCATTATTATGTGACCCATTTCATTGAACTGAGGATTTAGTTGCAAGGCGGTATGGAGAGATATAGCTGTGAAAATGTCCAATAATTGGATTACACACACACACACACACACACACACATATACATATATATATATATATATATATATATATATATATATATATATATATAAGTTTAATAAATATTTTACCCTTGAACGAAATGCCTGAAATATAATCCTAAAGAATGTTTTTAAGTATGTTTCTGAGCAGTGCTAACACGTAATAATTATTTTAATCCGAAAAACCCTTTATTTTCATTATGTGCGCCAGCAAAGCTATTAGCTGTGAAATCCTGTCGTTGTCTGATTTCATCACTTCACTTTAAGTTTCACAAATCAGAAACTTGCTGAAGCGGAAGTGTGTTCCCCATTTATACATCAAGTACAACTTCAGACATATTGAGTAACTTTTTTACAGTATTGATCAAGGATAACCCATCCGAACACTTAACCTGAGAAAGTCCTTCCATTCCTGTCCCAAGACTACCCAGCAGCCCCTGCGGCTCACTAAGTCTCTTGCATTAAAGTATAACATGTAACTTCAATAATTCAGACAGAAATGTAACAGTAACCTACTGTTTCTGTAAAATTTCATCATGTGATGGAACCAAAGTTTTGTAATAGTGAAAAGGATCAATGTAAACCTAAGTGGGATATTTAACCTTCATTTTTTTTTAGAGTAACTACATTTTCAGTGTGGATTTTTTTATTTTATGTTGATTTTTTTTTATTTTACAGGCTGCAATTGAATGCAAAAAGGGGGTTTCTGAAAGCCTTCACCATTGTGATAATTTTCTTATGAGATACTAAACAAACTCATCCTGCAGAGCTTGGCTGAGCTGAGCCTTCTTTGCTGACAGTGAAGTCCTAAACAATGAGAAGGAACCTTCAAACATGTTTTTGCCTTGAGACACAAATTTAAAGAATCTGATTGGATAAGTGTATTTTCATGGATTAAATGGCTTCTTGCTCAACTGCAAAGTAGTTTACAGAAAACAAGAAAAATATATATATTTTCATATAAAAGAAAATAAATAAAAAAATTAAATGTAACATTTCATATGTACATTCTTAGGCCTTCTCTGACCGTGTAGAAGGCCCTGACTGTGTCCTGAATGCTACTATAGACTTGTTTTATTTACATTTTATTTATTTACATTTTTATAATATCTAAATATCTCTAGAAAACTATTTTCTTCAGACAATAACATAAAAGTATATTGGTTCTATTAAAATATAGTTATTTTTCAACCTCAATCACAACAGAATAAATAATAATATATATATATAATAAAGTATGATAATACTTTATAATAATAATAGTAATTATAATAATAAAGTATGAATAATAAAGACAATAAATAAAAAATAAAGAATAATAAAGTATGCCCATTGTTAGCTTCTATATACTGTAAATAAGATGCTCTTTAAAGTTTTGTTTTTATGAACTAATTAACTACTAACTCTGCCCTCACAAACTGACTGATCCTTTAAATCTTTCATCGTAACGCCGACACACGTCAGAGAAATGAAGGTGTTCTGGGGACAGGTGGATGAGGAGGTGTTTCAAACCCCACTAAAAGGAGTGAACTGGTCTGCTCATCTGAAGTGGTTGAATATCCTCTTTTGGCCCCGGCCTCCTTTTTGTAAAATCACTGAATATTCAACAACTTGTGATGCTTCTCTTTATGCTGAAGATGTTGCCAGGATGCATCTTTAGCCTGCGGGAAGTCCATCCTTCCCCTCCTTCTCCTTCCCCCCTCTCTCCCCGTCTTTCCAAGCTTTTTGGAAATGTGGTGATGTCGTGAGTGTGAATGAGACATATAGCACTCAGTTTTAAAAGAAAACTGCTTTTTTTTTTTTTTTTTTATTTTTGGAAATAAAAAATGAACAACTAGTGTACCAAAAAAAAAAAAAAGTTCTCTCCAACTGATGCATTTTTCAAACCTCTTCATTTTTGTCCTCGGTGGCATTGCTTTGTCCATTTAGCTGGGATATTAGGTGACATGTTTTTTTTTCTGATTAACAGAGTAAAAGAGAGGCCAGTCAGACTTTCATTGTTAGAATTAACATTCATTAGGTTCCTAACGAGTTACATAATTATTCTTTATGCATGCAAATATTTAATAATTTTAAGTTTTAATCATATTAAATGGACACTGTCCTATAAAATACGTCAGTTTAGAAACAAAAGAGGATGTTGCTGCTGCCCAGTTGTCCTATTTAAACCCTATGTGGGTGTGTATTTGACAAACTGCAGCTCGTTTAATTAGCAATAAGCATCCATGTCTTCAAAAAGGTTTTATTTTTAAATGTGAAAGCTAAATTTAAGCATTAGAAAACCTTAGAATGAATATTTGATAATTCTGATTTGATTATAATTCTGTTCCTCTAAAAAACTTATAGAAAACAATATTTTTCCTAATCTTTAGTATTTTATTACTTCTTTAAGTCAGGAGCAAACACTTGCCACATGACTCTGATGGAAAACTTTTTCTTAAACACGGACAGCTTCACCTTTTTGGACCATTTTTTTTCCTGTTACTTTTGAATCTGGATGGGTTTTTCCACATATCTTGAATATTCTAAACTTTTTCATTTTGATTTTAGCTGCCATTTTGGTAGCTTAAAACGTAAAGTATCAAAATAAGATAAAAAAAAGAAGTTCACACACTTGGGAAAACAGGAAGTGTAGAGGCTGTAGTGGGAAGGATGCAAACTAAACTGGTCTGGCAGCTGGGTTTCTGTCTGATCCTCCTGGAAGTTTCAGGGGAATCAGAATGCAGCTCACACTTTGTAGCTCGGAAGCTCCAAGAACACACACAGACAGGCCTTCAGTTTGTCACAGTCTGGGTTTCTGTTTCAGCAAACACACTTTTCCCATGAGGGTTTCTTGTAGACATAGAGCATTCCCTCGAGTCGACCCCCACGGTAATCATCACAGCTGAAAGCCTCAGCGTCATCATTCAAACTTAAACATAAGGTTTACCTAATTTTAACATTCACCAAGAAAATCCCTTGAATCTAAGTCTTTTGTGAAACATTAAAAGTTATTATTTGCTCTCATTTATCAAGAACTGAAACTTCAAGTCATGAATGTAATTGATATCGACTAAACTGTTTTCTTTTTTTTTTTTTAATCAGTTATCTCAATCAATGTTTTCAAGAAGTAACCAGTTTTAAGGATATTTTTTCCCAGTTTGTTTCAATCAAGTGTTCAAGAAAGATAGTGCTACCACAGCTGACTTCAAAGAAACACGCTTGAGTGCTTTAACCAAATAAATTTATCTGAATATATAGTGTATATAAAGAAAGTTCATAGTGAAACAGTAATTCAAAGCTGCAGTCAGCTGACAGCAGTGAAGTTGCAGATTTGATCTGAATAGTCAGAGGTAATTCTGATGTTAAATGTTTTGAGTGTTAAACCTCTGTTTTTAAGCAACTGACATAAAAATGTTTATTCCTTTCAGTCATAGTCATTTAATGTCATGGAGTAAAACAGTAAACAACGATATAAACTTAAAAACCATTTGAGACCTGAAATGATTTCTCTGTGTGTCAGCTGGTGAGCTTTGAACTGTCAGCGGAGTTGAAAGCTGCACTGAGCACAACATCAGGAAGTTCAAGTCAAGAATAAAAAAAAATCCTCTGACTTTATTGTTATTTACCCGAGAAGGAAGTGCACAAATCTAAACTTCATGAAAGATTCATTGGTAGACGAAGCATGAGAAAAAACACAGCATTTTGTGTACAGTAGTAGTCCCTCGCTACTTTGCAGTTCTATTTTTGCGGACTCGCCCTTTTGCGGTTTTTCAAGAGTGGACATGACAAATGGCTGATTGATGGATGAGCCACACAATCAGCATGTATTGTTTACTGAAAACAGTATTTAAATTTAAATTGTGTATTTGCACAGAAGGATGGAGATTGGAAGTGAAACTTGAACTTGGACTCAGTGGCGGCTGGCCAATAGAGGGCGCAAGGGCGCCGCCACACCGCTCACCACATTGTCTTGAATAAGACATAAAAAATTTAATAAAATGAAATAATAAAATAAAAATATTTCGAAATATATATATTTTTTTAGTTGTGCAAGATAAATATTTTATAGTTAACGATGAGAAACGATGAGTAACGATGAGAAACGATGAGTACCGTTTCGTTTAACAACGTTGTCTGATTGGTGACGTATTTCCACACTGGGGTGCAAAAATCTTTGCCCATAGACTCTCGTTAAAAGTTGTACATGTGCAGTAGCTCCTCTTCAGGACAAAGATAGGACCATTCTGGGGCGCACCACTCCTGCGCCCAGAGCTGAATGCAGCTTGATTTGCATATCACTATCCTCCTGCGGTGCCGAACATGACAATTAATCAGCAGTCCAAAGACAGAGGGAGACAGTACACTTGGTCTTTTTCCAAGACCTAGTTTGGCAACAAGGCTTGGCTAAATACATGTAGTGAGGCTAATGCTTTATTCTGCTTTCCCTGCCTACTTTTTCAAACATAAGGCTTTGACCCAGCATGGATTAAGACAAGTATGACTAATTTAAAGCATTTTTTAGAAAAGGCAAAGAAGCATGAACAATCTGGGATCCACACGGAAAATGCACTGCGACTAGCCATCTTTGAGAAAATAAACATTTCATCTCAGCTTGATGAAGGCTACAGTAGGGATCCGTAAGCACAATGAGGAGGTTGACAGAAACAGGCACATTCTACCAAACTAACAGACTGTGTCAAGTTCTGTAGTGCATTTGAACTTGCCCTGCGTGGCCATGATGAAAGTGAAAGCTCAGAAAATCCGGGTGTTTTTAAAGGACTAGTGGATTTTGCAGCAACACTGGAAAAAGTGCACACTGCCACTGTGTTTAAGGAACATCTAAGTCTGTGCATAATGAACTCCTTGATTGTATGCTGTCAGTTTTGAGAAAGTGCATCATTGAATAAATCAGGAGTGCAGACTTTGTCTCTATCCAGGCTGATGAAACAATGGACATTTCCACTCCACACACTTATAGTCCACCCTGGAGAAAACTCCAGCCACCACTTCCTGGACTACTGTATCCCTACTGCACGGTTTTTCACTTATCGCGGGGGTGTGGTCCATGATCAACAAGGGACTACTGTACTCTGTTAAATCAATGCAATAAAGCAGAAGTCTTAAGCCTCTGTGAGCACTTTTTATTTTGTGTTCAATACGTTGAAAAACACAAAAATGACAAGATGCCATTCAGTCTTTAACCATCCCTGTGCACATTACTGTCTTTAATTTAAAGCCCAACTGTTGTTTTTACTCACCTTAAAAGTTTCACCTGTCAGTTTTAGCTGTATTGCCACAAGATGCTTTATATTGGAGGTTGAGCAGCAGCATTAAAGTGCGCTCGAGTCATAATAAACTGCAGTGTGCACCAACAGTTGAGGAAAATGTTGTGAAAAATAGTGGCCCAGTTTAGTTGTAAAATATAATTTATCTTTTTTTTTAATTATGTTATAATAATGGGAAAATACTGTTAAAAACCAGATGACGTCCTTATTTTTTGCTTTCTTCTCTCACAAAAGTCAGATGGAAATCGGATGGCGTTTAAATCAGAGTTATTTTGGCTTTTAAAGAGATCCTGCTCAGACTCCGCAGGAAGGAATTGTCATATTCTGATTAAAACACCCCAACTCCCCTATTTCTCCCCCCGTGTCGTAGCCTTGATGTGCCTCCATCTGTGCTGCTGTTCAGCCTCTGCCTCCTCTTCCTGCCGTCACTCGCTACACTTCACCACGAGTCAGGTACGCATCACTTCCTGTCTACCTTCATAAGTTATTTAATTAAATCATGGTGTCCTTTGAAAATATGGGACTGCACCTGCCTTCCTGTTGTTTACTGACAAGCCTATTTTTGTGAATGTTGTTCGAGGGTGAAAATCACAATGAAGTTATTCATAATTTAGTTGAATGTGACCTTTGGACATATGGTCTTTATGCTTTGCTTGACTAACTGTTCACTTCTGCTGTGCACAAACAAACAGTCTAGTTTGACCTTCAACAAAAAAATAAGAAAAAATATTTAGAAAAATAATAAGTAATTATCAATAATGTGCTGCTCTGTTCTTAGATGATTCAAAACTTCTCCAGGTAACCATCCCCATAAACCCGCCTGTGATTGCTGTGCTGGGGGGCTCTTTGACTTTACCCTGCCTGGTGTCGCTGGCCCTCCCTCCTCCGTCCCCCTCCACCAACGGCCGTCACGCCGTGCTGACTGTGCCTCGGGTCAAATGGAGCGTCCTGACTGAAGATCGGGAGACAGAAATCCTGGTGGCCCGCGGCGACCGGGTCAGAGTCAGCGAGGCCTACAAAGACCGAGCGTCGCTGCTCAATTACGCCTACTCCCCTGCAGACCTGACGCTGCGCCTGCAGAACCTGAGGCAGAACGATACCGGGTTCTACCGCTGTGAGGTCCAGCAGGGCCTGGAGGATGCCGACGATGTGGCTCAGGTCAAGGTCAAAGGTGACACAGACAACATTCTTGTCCGTTATTATTAATCCAAATATATCAGGAAAATTATGAAGCAACAGCATCTTAGGTTTGTTCTTGTACAGCCAGATCATTTGGTGCGCTGAGTCTGAGTCTTTTCTGACTATCTTTATTTTATCGGTTTGGTTGTTTTGAATCTAATAATAAAAGCACAACAGAACACATATCTGTGCCAAGACTTCACCAATTTCTTTTGGATTTTCAGGAGTGGTGTTCCATTATCGCGACGCTTCCAGCCGATATGCTTTCACCTTTGAGCAGGCCAGGAAGGCCTGCGAGGAGATCGGGGCTGAAATAGCCTCCCCAGAGCAGCTGCTTGCAGCCTATCATAGTGGATATGAGCAGTGTGACGCAGGCTGGCTCTCAGACCAGTCTGTCAGGTCAGAAATTAACAAAATCCAACCCTTTAAGATGTAAACTTTACAGTCTCTGACATCAGAGTTACCATCTGTGTTTTTTACCCACAAGGAATAACAATTTAGTTTTGGCAACACTCCAATTTTTTTCTGCAGCTCCCCTTGATGAGCACTAAACTGGTAGATTGATAATTGGTGTGAAGGATGCACATTATTATGATTCTATAGTCTGTCAGACAGGGGTCATAGTGCACCCCTCATCCAACTATCCGTCGATGCATCTGCACGTCACAACACTCAGATCATCCAGTAGCTGAGAGGCACTCATTTGATCTCAAACCAATTATTTCTGCACAGCTTCAGAAAAAGCAGCCAATTAAGTGTTGTCGTTATTAAAGAAGAGGCAGCTGGTGCTTCAGTGAAGAGTGACCATCTGTCCACAGATATCCCATTCAGATGCCAAGAGAGGGCTGTTTTGGAAACATGGACGGCACGCCGGGTGTAAGGAACTACGGGCTGCTGGAACTTGATGAGCTCTATGACGTCTACTGCTACGTGGAGAATATTCATGGTGAACCTTAACGTTGCTTTACAAACTCTGCCACGTTTTCAGCTTTATGCATTATAATTATATATATATTTATATATTATACATATATTATTTATTTATATAATTATGTTGTATATATTTGAATATGCAGTGATACTCGAACAAACTAGGTTAATTGCATTCTCTGAAAATGAAGCATAAATGCTAAGTGGTGAATAAGTTTGCTTAAATTTGCTGAAGAAGCCAAAGTGAAGTTAAAGATAAAAAATAGAACTAGCTACAAGCTAAAAGGAGCAAAACAACAAGAAAAACACAAGATGCAAAATGCTAGTCAAAAATGAAAAGTAGTAAATGCTAACTAGAAAATAAAACTAATAAAACGCTACCTAAAAGTAACAAAAGGTTGAGTAAAAGCTAAAAATAAGTTCTGTTAAATAGCTAAATATACAAAGTAGCTAAAGGCTAGCTAAAAGCTAAATAAGGCTAGTTTAGAGTTAAATGTAACAAAACAATTCAAAACAAGTTGGTGACAGTACCGTGTTTTGTAACAAACTGTAAACATTACGTTCAACATTTCATTTTTTAATTTTTTATGTGCATTAAAACAATCTGCTCTAAACTTGTTTTGGCTGCACACATACAACAGTGTTGTTGTATTTGATGGAAGGAAAAAAAAAACATTAAAGCTGTTATTAGCAGTATATTATGATCACTGATTAAATATTTATTAATGGTGTGGTTGTTGTAGTAATATACGTCCAAATATTTTGCCAAATATTTAGAAAAGGGGTACATAAACCCTAAACAGCGATTTTGTTTTTCACACTAAAACCTCTAAAAGTACAGACATAAAAACATTTTAACAAAATAAATATTTTAAAGCAGAAGTAGCCCTGCAGAATGCTGAAAGCTTTTTAAGATTTTTGTTTCTCTTTTTGTAAAAATGAGGTTCAATGTCAAAAAAAATTATTTAATCATCCTGCAGTTTCCACTATCGCTTGATTGGACTTTGTGATTAATTAAAGTAGAGGTTCTCAAACTGGGGTCCCAGCACCCCCAGGGGTCTGCAAGTTGTAGCTTGGGGGTCTGCAAAATAAAATACAATAAATTATTTAAAGTGCATAAATAAATTTAATTTAAATTCAGTTTATTTATTTAGCACCAAGTCACACATATGGGGACCAATGCGTCATTAAATGAAAGAAATGTAACCAAGCAGACAAAATAAAAATTCCCAAGGCATTTAGGGCTGGAAATGTCAGTAAATTATTTTTCAACAGCATGATGTTTCTGAGGGAGTCCCTGGGACATTTTTCTCCCCTATAAGAGGTCCCCTGACCCAAAACGTTTGAGAACCCCTGAATTAAAGCAATAAAATTCAAAGTAAAACTGTACGGTCAAAGAAGAGTTATTACAAGCTAATAAAACTATTGAAAAATGTCGTAAATGACTTGAATTTGATTGGTGTTTTTATTAATTCAAACACTTTAATCTACTGCAAAAGTAACTCATAAAACCTGTCTGTGTATTTAAAGGTGAGGTGTTCCATGGCTCCGCCCCCCAGCGTTTTACCTTCGGGGAGGCCAAGGCGTATTGTGTGAGTCACGGTGCGGAGCTGGCCTCCACAGCTCAGCTCTACGCAGCCTGGAGCGATGGACTGAACCACTGCAGCCCAGGCTGGCTGGCTGACGGGAGCGTACGCTACCCCATCGTCATCCCCAGAGAGCGCTGTGGAGGTGGCGAACCTGGCGTTAAAACCATCTACAGATACAGCAACCAGACAGGCTTCCCAGATGTTCACTCTCAACACGACGTCTACTGCTTTAATAGTGAGGAAGATTTTTTTTTCTTTTCAAAGTGTCTTTTTTTTTAACAGCGTTTTCTCTGAGGGGAGGACGATCCGTGTGGAAAATAAACAGCAGAAAACAGAATTTACCTGAACTAGAGGAATTGCATTTCCTGCGAAAATGTAGTGTGATGCTGAATAACTTGCTGAAAAACAACAAAAAGTAGCTAAAAACATGCTGAAATGTACTTTGTAGCTGAAATGGAAGAACAAGCCTAAGAAGAAAGCAGAACGAACACATATTTGCAGAATTTGGTTTAAATAAGCAGAATTGAGCACAAAAATGAGTAAATTAGCTAAAAAAATAGCTGAAAAGGCAGAAAAAAATCTGAAAATACCAGAAGAAAGTGGAGAGAACACAACTGTGCCCAATTAGGCTTAAAGAAGCAGAAATTAGCACAAAAAAGTGGAAATTATCTGAAAGGGCAGAAATTTGCATGCACACACACAAAACAGCTCAATAGCTAAAGAAGCCTAAATTACCAGACGGAAATGGAGAGAGCCCAGTTGTGCCCAAATTAGGCTGAAAGAAGCTGAAATGAGCACAAAAAGTGGAAGCTATCTGAAAAAAGCAGAAATGAAACAAAAGAAAACAGCTGAATAGTAGCTAAACAACAGAAAGAAGCTTAAATACCAAAAGGAAGTGGAGAGAGAACAACCGTGCACAATTAGGCTGAAAGAAGCAGAAATTAGAACCAAAAAGTGGAAATAATCTGGAAGAAGAAGAAGAAAAAACAGCCGAATAGTAGCTAAACAACAGAAAGAAGCTTAAATTACCAGAAGGGAGTGGAGAGAGCACACGTTTTTCTGAATTAGGCTGAAAAAAGTTGAAATGAGTGCAAAAAATGTGGAATTAGCTTTAAAATCTAAACTTAGCATAAACAGCTAAATAGTAGCTGAAATTACAGAAAAAGTTGAAACTTGCAGAAATGAGGTGAAAGGAGCAGAAAGAAGTTAGAAGGAGTACACAAATGTTGTAGTTTGCAGAATAGAAAAGAAAGTAGCGCAAAACAGCTGAAAAAAACGCTGAAAGTAGCTAATAAAAGATTAAATTTGCACAAAGAAGCTGAAAAAAGCTGAACCGAAACAAAAGGTGAAAGGAGCAGTAAAAGGTTGTCAACAGATCTAAAGATCTGAACGATATAAAATGAGCTCAATTAATTTTCAATGAGCCAAAAAGTGGCAGAAAAGGCTAAATATTTCCAAAAAAGCTAAAGTTGCACCAATACCAAAAGTCACGGCACCCTTCTCCTGAAAGAGCTGAACGTTTTGATTCATGCTTTGTTGAAGTAGCACAAAAATTGTGGAACGAGAAAGACGCTGGAAAACGTACGGAAGAAAAATGGATCGCTTCATAAACATTCACACAATTATTCTCTTCTTTCCAGGTGATTACAGCCCTTACACCGAGTCTCCCCAGGGTTTTCTCGCCACTGAGCCAGAGGACATTGGGCAAGACATTATTTTCCTAACCACTCAACAGGACGTCAGTCTGAGCGAGACGATGTCAAAAGAGACGGAAGAGATGAATAACGCTCCAACATATGATCCGACAAAGCAGCACAACGAGGCAGCGGTAAAAGAAAACCCTCCCCAGTTTGTCGCTCCCTCGTCTAAGCCTCGGGAGAACCCCTCCACCAAAGATACAGGGGAGCTGGTAAAGGTCAGCCACCCCGACTCCTTTCAGCTGGCGCCTGAAGAAGACCCACACACAGATCGTGAAGTTCCTCCAACTTCTCCATCGTTTGATGGTCTCTCTGTGGATAACGAAACTTTTCTCACAACAGACGGAACAACGTTTGAAAGCACGCCGCCCACAGAGGAGCACATTTCTGAAGCTAAAAGCCCAGACTGGTTGGTTTATAGTCCCACGTCTGAAGCTGATCTGGACGAAGAGCATCATGAGGGGAGCGACCTTCCTGTTTCACAAGAAGACCACACGACTGACGTCGCCTCGGATCATCCTTCTGTTACCGAGTCTGCTGTTTTAGGAAAGTTAGAAGAAGTCACCACTGACTCTGTTGTTGAGAGTTCCCCTCACACCGAGGAAGGTGGCGCTCGCTCCACCACCCCGCTGCCTTCAATCACTAACAGCACGTATGAAGATCAGTCAGTAGAGTCTGAAGAGGAGACCAGAGACCTCACAGATGATAATCTGATGGATTTGAACATCTCTTCCATCGCTGAAGAAGTCCCTGCTTCTAACTCGAGTAAGAAACCTCTGAAATAAAATGGTCTGGTCACATCCTTAGTGACACCTACTGGTTTTCCGAGTTGCAGTTGGAACCCAGTAATATCAGGTCTGACTTCATTCCCAGATCTGTTTCACATTTTGGGATTAACGGAATGCAGACCTTTTAAAATAATCTAATTCAAGTTGCCTGCTAATCAACCTTACTCGAATTAAAATGACTTCAACTTGGTCTATTTTACAGATTTTGAGCTTCAATTTTCTGTTTTAGTAGTCGAGTCACACACTCAACACACACTCCAAGCAATACTCATTGCACCACATTTTTGCATAAAACTTTAACATTTGGAGTCAACCCAGGCTGTCTGTTAGCAAAATATCTTATAAATAATGACCCCGCTTTTGATGAAACTCTCAGAAATTACTTTTTTTAGATGCACCACTACGACTGATCACCTTATAGTGTCAGTCCGTTTCAAAATGGCTGCTGTAGCTAATCAACATTAACCAACACAAAAATGGCTTTAGTGCAGTCAGTTTTACAGATATTGAGCTAAACACTGATGTGGCAGTAGCTGAGACTTATCCCCAACACATACTCCAAGCATTAACAGATGAAATGAGATCTCACTACAATATATCAAGAGATGCTCATGACATTATTTTCAAGATTTGACCTAAATGCCTGAAACACCATCATTTCTAATGCTTTTAAAAAAAAATTACAATTCTGATCTTAACACTTCTTTCCCATTGACTTAATATTATCTTCTCTGATTTTTCCATTTTCAAGTGGATGCATGTTTTACTTATGTTCTCTGGACAGGTTTCGACCCCATTCATGAGTCTGCTGTTATGGTAAATCACGACGACGACGACGATGATGAGGAGGAGTTCAAACACACTTCAGATGGTCCGACAGAGCAGAGTGGATATGCGGATCCTGTAGAAATCCCAAGAGCAGAAGTCGTCCAGCTCACAGCTGAAATAAACTCCAGCACTGATGCTTCTGTTTTAATAAAGAAGCTGTTTTCATCGCCGGTCTCTGTAACTGTGTCTCCATCGTCTGTGGAGGTTGAAGCCAGCTCTTCAGAGGCCGTAACGTTCCAGCATGAAAGTGATTTTTCATCTGACGCTGAACCCCAGGAGGAGACTCGGGATGAAACTGACCAGGAGGATTTAGAAGAAAGCCCATCAGTCCAGAACTTCACAGACGATGGTTCAGGCGAGGGAGAAAGAGAGGAGGCGCATGAATCTTCGTGGGAAACGCCCCAAAGAAAATCGGAGCTTTTTCTGACAAACCCGACTCTGTCCGCAGACCACACCTCTGAGGGAATTATTGACGAGGCTGGGACTAACGCACCGCCACAGTCAAAGACAAAAATCACGCTGGTTCCTCATCAGAGCTTCACCCCCAGCTGGGAGCCGGAGCCTTCGACCCAAACACCCGAGGAGTCTCTGTCGGATCGGGAATACAGCGCTGAGCTTCCTGTCCACGAGGAGTCTGACGAGATCTCCCAGGAGCAGAGATTCACCACAGCAGCAAGCAAAGCCCGCGGTAAAGTTCTGTACAATTAGCTGCTTATCCTGGGAGGAAGTTGCACTGCTTACTTTGATTTTATAAACGGTGGGCTCGTTTTATTTTTGCAAGGGAATCATTTATATTTAAGGCACTAATTACAATTTACTTTTAAACTTAAACACATAAACGAACATTAAATTCAGTATAGATGTCATTACTCATTTCCAGGTTGAAGTTTCTTTGTTGTCATTCGCATCACATGTGGTACATGAGGTGGAACGAAACTGTGCACTCAAGGTCCCAGTTACACCCAAAAATAGTAACAATATAAAGCACATTAAAGAAAAGAAGCAACGGTACACAAGGATCTATACACGCTAAACTTGCCGCCGTACACGTCGCACTGCCGTATGAGCTGAATCTGGAACATGAGTCTGTTGTGAGCACATGGGTATGAATACAGCAGCTTATGGGTAAGAAATCAGCAGCATGGATAATCAGCAGCACATAGTGTCATATCAGCAGTGCAAGTGGAATTACAGAGATTATTCTGGTTAGAGGTTTATGAGTTACAGCTTCAGGGTAGAAGCTGTTCCTCAGTCTAGTGCAGGGGTCTGCAACCTGCGGCTCTGGAGCCACATGTGGCTCTTTGGTACCTTCGCAGCGGCTCTTTCAATCTTTGACCACAACTAACATAAAACTGAATTTTATTGTTTGTTATACAAACAACAACAAAAAAGTACCATAATAATTTTAGTTGTCTTCATCTAATTTATTTTGCAAATATGCTCTTTAACTTTTTGCTTTATTTCTATACTTGTTTCCCCCCCCCCCCCCCACACACACACAATTATACATAGGTCTGCATAGCTCATAGTTTATTTTTATTTTTTTAAACTATTTCTCCACCTCTTTACAAGAATCTTTTCATTTGTCTTGAATTGTAAAAATATAAACGGTTAAAAATCATTAGATAATTTTAGCTTGATAAAGTCTTCTGGTCACAAATGTCTCCTCCAACAAACCTAAAGTGGCCCATGGGCCACCAGTTGATAATAACAGTTGTAGCAGGTGGTTGTGGCTCTGGACACGTTGAATTTAGTAAATGAAGGTGTAAAAATTGATCTTTTAATCATAAAAGTTGCAAACTCGTTGTCTAGTGGTTCTAAACTTAATGCTCCTCAACCTTCTGCCTGAGGGGAGCGGGGCAAAAAGTGTGTGTGCTGGGTGAGTGGGGTCCTTCATGATGCAGGTGGACCTCTGGAGGTGTTGATGTCTGTGATGGAGTGCAGCCTTCACCACCACCATTTGATTCTTTTATCCAAATTTCACTTTGTATTTACTGAGTTGAGGCGTCTTAAACATGAAACTGTCACTTTTGTTTGTAAAGAATTCAACCCTTGTGATTATTGATGGTGTGACAAACTCAGCAGAACCTGTAACAGAGGGCCACGAAGCAGACCCCACCACCGATGAGCCCTCAGGTAACATCTGCACATGGCTTCCTGAGGAGGAGGAGGCGTCCAGGTCAGCCTTCACCACCAACAGTGACGTGACCATCACTGCCCCCACCGTCCACCCTGAGCATTTTGGGGACGTTGTCAGGGAGCATACGGCCATGGGGCCCTCCCTGCCTGCTGAGAAGGTTTCTGCCACAAGCCAAGGAGGTAATTCAGTTTATGTTACTGCTGTTCATCGACTGATGTAACAGAATGATGATGTTTGATTGTTTTATTGTTGTTTTGGGAGGAGAAGGTGTGAAAATGAAAAACTGAGATTTAATTTGCTGTAAAATCAAATTAAATCTGTGCTTTTTCTTTAAAAGAAAAAGGAGAATCTGTTTCCCTGAATCTTAAATAGATTTAGAAAAACAGAACAACATCCAGTTTTGAACCATAAAAACTTATATCAGCCCCTGTTTTCATGTCTTGTGTCATTTTGTTTTAACTTGGAAGAATTTTAATAAAATATATTGCCAACAACATGCAAATTAGAGCCAATCTGCAAGTTTTTTTGATTTATTTAAAAAAAATTGTTTAATATAACAAACAGTTATAAACACATATAACAGTTTGCTTATTTTAATGTGACAACATTAATACAAATATAGGAATATTAAATAAATAAAACAAAACTTCATTTTGTTAAGAGCTGCAAAATATGACCGTTAGTTTTCTAAATAAGTAAAGTAATAATTATTGCAGTATTGTATTGCTCCATTTCCAAAATATTTTAATATCATTATTATTTTAAGATCTTTAACTTCTGAAAATAACAAAAAAGATTTCAAAGATTTAAACTTTCCTGTCTGTAACACAACCAAACGTGACTTAACAGCGCCATCTGCTGGTACTTTTTATTTGACAACAAAAGAAATTGGAACATTTTTAATTGTACAACTTGAAACACTAATACACGTATTGATAATTCTTCTTACAGGAAAAATGTAAAAATGCAATAATATTCTGGTGAATTTTTCAAACTCTTCAGGGTGTTATTGCCTTGGTTTGTGTATAATTACTCATAATATTTACAGCAAACTGGGTCCAAAGTTGAGCTTCTTTGTGTTTTCTTGTTTCACCCTTTTATTAAACAGTTTTTTTTACTAGTCTTTAAATAATTTTTGTAAATCTGATTCCCAGAAATCTAAAATATTAACCTTTTTCACCTCTGCTGCACCAACTAAAACGATCCGAGAGAATAACAAATGATAAATTTGACGTGTTTCATTCTGTTTGCAGACTCTTGCCTGGACAATCCTTGTCTTAATGGAGGCACTTGTGTTGACGGTGAATCTTTACGGTGCTTTTGTTTACCTGGTTATGGAGGACACTTCTGTCAAACAGGTGAGAGATTAACTTACACACAAATCTTGTTTTTTATGTTGGTGGTACCTTTCTTCTGTTTGCCTTCAAAAACACCTGGACGTGTTTCTCTGCCTCAGATATGGAGGAGTGTGAGCCCGGCTGGGACAAGTTTCAGGGCTTTTGTTATCATCACTTCAGCAGACGGCAGAGCTGGGAGGCGGCGGAGCAGCACTGTCGGCTGTGTGGAGGACATTTACTCTCCGTCATGACTCCCGAGGAGCAGGACTACGTCAATGGTAAATTCTGAATAAAGAGAAGATTCCCAGTAAAGATTAGGTGACACATGAAGGATGTTTGGTCTGTGATGCAGTGTGTACCACACAACCATCATATAGGGAGGGGTTCTTGAAAGCTCCAACATGAGAATGTCTCCCACCAAAACTCCACCTCGTTGAGCTGATATCACCTCAACCATCTTCCTCCAACGTTCTCCACTTTCAGATTCTTCGCAGATCTAAAGTGCTCAAATCTGTTCAGACATGACGGAAAATATCTTTTCATGTCTTTCAACTTCAAAAATCTTTTTTTTTTTTCTGTTGTAATGTGTCACGGTTGTATGTTTTACTGTCTGTATTTTGTCTGCTGGGTGGTGGGGGCGGGTGTGTGTGTGTTTATCTGATGTTCCATGGTTCTTTTCGTAAGAGGCAGGTAGGTGTACATGAGCTGCTCCGAAGGAGTTGTCTTTTTAAAACCATTATCGGATGTCAAATCCAGAGCTGAATATTTTAAATTGTGCAGAATTTCACTACAGTAGTCCCTCGCCACTTTGCGGTTCGACTTTCGCAGACTTTCGTGGTTTGTCAAAATAAGATTGAACACGACGCACAATTGACTGATTGATGGATGAGCCGCACGATCGGCATGGAGTTTTTATTTTAAATTATTTAAAATGATTTAGCACCTCTGCGCAGCCAACAGGTGCAGGGAGAAGCTCCCTCCTGCGACATGTCATGAACTCCGAGCTGCAGCGTTGAAGTGGGCGTGGCCAAGAGCGCTGGTAGAGGCAGAGAGCAGCCAGAGAGAGCAGAGATCATTACATGCTGTGATCTTTTAGAGCGTTTAGAGTTTAGAATATTGCAAGCGTGTGGGAAGGGCTTACTTGTACTACTACTCCTACTTTGCATTTTTTTCACTTATCGCGTGGGGGGGGGGGGGGGGGGCTGAGAAGGGAAATCCCTGTGATAAACGAGGGACTACTGTATGATGTACTACATTACTTCTGCAAAGACTCATTTTCCTGCAACTTCTTGTTCTATTTTGAAATAGGAGCTTATTGTTTTATAACATTTTTTTCTTTTTTAATATGAGTAGCTTTGAACACACCTTGGTGTCTGGTCATGTTAAAGTCCTTAATAAGGAGAGAACATGACGTTTTATATTGAAAACCACCAGCATTGGTACTAAAAACCTTTTTTATCCTATAAGAAGAGTTGCAGATAAAGTTAAGAAATATCTGTAGTGTCAACACGTTGGTGATTAAGTCGAGTTACCAAATGCCTCAATAAAATATGGTGTTACTTTGTGTACTGTGTAAATTGTATATATATATATATCAATAAAACGTGTATATTTTGCGTATTGTTAGATAAATACAGAGAATATCAGTGGATTGGACTAAATGACAGAACCATTGAAGGAGACTTCCGCTGGTCTGATGGAAACCCTCTGGTGAGTTTTATTAACAGTCCATGAACTCTTCTGAAATTGCACGTCTGAACTCTTTTAATTGTTTCAAATTATTTGATTAATTTTCACAATGCTGGATTTTACTTAGTCTCTGGGCTGTTTTAATCTACTCATCTCTCCGTTAGCTTTACGAGAACTGGTACAAAGGTCAGCCTGACAGCTACTTCCTGTCCGGTGAGGACTGTGCAGTGATGGTTTGGCACGATGGTGGCCGATGGAGCGACGTGCCATGCAACTACCACCTGTCGTACACCTGCAAGAAGGGCGCCTGTGAGTTTTCTTTGTTTAAAATCTTTATAACATCTCATTACGAGAGCTTTTATTTCCAGATTATAGCAGCATGTGTTTCCTTCAGCCTCCTGTGGGGACCCCCCTCGGGTTCCCCACGCTCAGGTGTACGGGAAGAAGCGGTTGCGTTATGAGACCAACAGCAGGGTGCGGTACTACTGCAAGGAAGGCTTTGTGCAGAAACTGAATCCTGTTATTACATGTTTGCCTGGTGGTCAGTGGGAGGAGCCTCAGACTATCTGCACGCCAAGTAAGTTTCTCACCAGCTTTTATTATATTTATATTGTTAGAAAAACACTCACATTCTCATTACCTCTACAAAATCAACCTGGGAATACTTATTAAAAGTCAGAACTACTGAATCTTAGAAGATCTGTCATAGACTAGCTGGGCATCATCCCCAACACTTACTCTGAGCACATTGAGCTCAAATTGAATGCAGCAGTAGCTGAGAGTCATTCACAACATTCACTCTGAGTGTAGCATAATTATCATTTCTCCACATAGACTGACCTTAATCTAAAACTTTGACATAACAGGCGTTATGGATTTCTTCAAGGAATGCAAGGCCTTTATTTAGGCCCATGTGTTTTATTTTGACAATCCCTTTAACAGCCATCTTTTGTATCTCTTCAAAGAACAAATGAATCCAGGCAAAATACACACAAGTGAAGGTAACGATAAGCAACGTGCTGCGTGGTCAGTGGCATAAAGAGAGCAGATGTGAAGAGGAAAAGGAAGCAGAAGGAAGAGGTTCTATCAGAATAAAAGGAGACAAAAGACAAATCAAGAAAAATGATAAAATACTAAACACGGGAGAGTGAACAGATACAAAGACACAGAACCAAAACTGTACTATTTGTACTAACTGGACTAGGGGGAGTGGTGGCGCAGAGGTTAGAAGATGGGCCTGTGATCGGAAAGTCACAGGTTCAACTCCCGGTACCGTCAACATCAAAAAATGTGGGTGGAATAGGTGGAACACCCACACCTCCCTCCACCCTCATTTGCCCCACCCTGGGCCCCTGAGCAAGGCCCTTAACCCCCACCATCTGCTCCCTAAACAGGTCTCTCTTGAAAATGAGTTCTCATTGCTCAATGAGACTACCTGTATAAATAAAGGGTAAATGAAAAACATTTTTAATAAAGAACATCAGAATCAACTTTATTGTCATTGTACAGTTAAGTACAGTAACATTTCATTCCGTACAGAGAACATAGAGAGACATAATACATTTTGCAGGAGGTGGGGGGGACAACAAGACGGTGAGATTGTCCATGAACAGATAGCTTCCATAGTCCTGATAAAGATGTTACAGTGTCTCTCAGCCAGTCCACTGATAAAAATCCACAGATGTTCTTGTGGGGTTGGGGAGCAGAGCTTTTTAATTTACGTATCCACCAGGAACAATTTTAGATAAGTTGGTCTATCCAAGGCCAGCTGGGGGCCAAATTCAGATAAACAACAATTGTTTTGGGCAGGCCCACCCTACTGATTTTATGTCTGCCTTCAGTTCTGCTGGAACACTCAACAGCGAATCCACGCGTCGATAGACCAGCTGACCAGATCCATAATACATTTTCAATTTGGAAGAAAAGAGAGGCTCTGCGGTTCACAGGATAAGAGCAAAAGCAGGAGGGGAGGCAGGGGAGGGAAAACGAACATGCAAAATAAACAGACAACAAGAAACATGCATATTAAAAAAAATATCATTAAAAAAAGTGTTTTCAAATCCAATAATTCTCAGTCAGGTCATCTGGACATCTGATACCTGGATGACTGAGCATGAACTTTGTTGCCTTGAACCACTTTGGCTGTGGCTGCCTGCCTGGGAGGAGTCGATGGGGGACAGGATGGCCCCAGACCGGTTGGTCCACTTACGAAGTTTTCTGCTTGGTGGGGAAACAGTTTACTGGAACTCCTCAGACTGATGAAGTCCTCCGGATAGAAGGCGAAACGTCTCTATAAAAAAGAAACTGTCCAGATGACCTGACTGAGAATTGTTGGATTTGATACCTGGATGATTGAGCATGAACTTTGTTGTGTTTTCAAATGTTCAAGGATTCAAGGTTCTTTATTTGTCGTTCACACCACACGTGGTACATGTGGTGGAACGAAATTGTGTACACAGGGTCCCAGTTACATCCAACAAAAGTATTAAAATGCAAAAGAAAAACAGTTATAAAATCTAAGATATGAACTAAGAAAACGTTAACTAAAAACACACTAAGCACTAGTAGCATAAAAACGTTACGGCGCATCCTGCTGCTTTAGTTGCCTGGGTTTTAGAAAAAAAAAAGCAAAAATATCTGTCTGTGCTTTTTAAAAAGTTCCAGTTTTTTTACTTTGAAACACATTTTTTAACAGACTCATTGATGCTCTGTTGCATTGTGGGTAATGTACACCAAGAGTCTTCAAATGTGTGTCTAAAGTCATGCTGCGGCATCAGAAAAATGTTAAGACTTTCTATTATTTGGTTTACAAGTTCAGTCTGAGTGGTATTTTTCATCAACTCTACAAAAGAACGAACATTCCCACTCTTCAAAGTAAAAAGTGCAATAGTTTATTTTCTGTTTCCTTCTCCTTCCAGCTCATAAGTCAGAGGCAGACTTTGTTACCTCAGAGCCTAACCAGCGTGAAGACAGCACGGGCGCAGCTGCACAGAAAGCAGCTCCGCTCTTCTGGGACATTAAGTGGAGTTCTTAAAGCCACCCTGTCTTCTAAATGCAAAGAAAACATCATCCGTCCATTTTTATTCTACTTTTCTAATGTCTCAGTTGAGTTTCCTTTAGAACTCCTTCATTACGACTGAATGTATGAATAAAATATTGTGTTTTAGGCTCACTCAGTCACACTTTCAGCAGTTCTGGACATTTTGTAAGTGCTGTAATCCAATTGTGTGTTTTCCTGAATTAGACTGAATTTAGACTAAAAAGTGTCCGACGCTTTAAATAAATCTGTGCATTTGTTCATTTAAAACCTAAATAGTGTTAACATGACTGCTGATTAATTTCCTTAACTCACGTAGTATACAATCATGACTTCGGAATAAGATTTTTTCACATTTTTCTAAATATCAATCGCTGGATTGGATTTGGTACTGACTCTCCTGAATGTAGCTGGAGATTGTTCAGATGGTACGTCCATCAGGTTTTAATATTTATACGGAAGGATAAACATGTAGACATCATCAGATAAATGTAATTATCCCTAAAATACCAAATGTAAATGTATATTTTGTCATTCCGTGTGGCCTTTATCTTGCAAATGATCTACAGATATAATACAGTTCATCCATTTACAGGGAAAATATATCATGTTACTAGTTTAAATGCAGTTATGGCTGATAGTTAGTTGATATTAACTAAGTCAAGTTTTTTTGTGATTTTAAAATGGCAGATTTTTCTAATCTGTCAGTTCAGTGGCAAAGTAATATTCATAAATTTGGATGCTAATGCTACATTAATGTATAAAAACATTTGTTTTTCAAGCGTTTTTCCATTTATCAGTGGTATTTCATTCTCACCTTCAGTTGGTCTGATCGTCACTTAAACCTGTCTTATCTTGCTTATCATTACTTTATAGGATTTTATTATTATTTGCCATGTTTGGAAATGAATCCAGTAAATGTATTTTGCAGATTTGCACAATTTTTTACCACAATATTAATATATGTAAAGCTGTAGACCAGTGGTATTAAATTAAACTCTGTGAAGTCTGCCTGAAGAAAAGGAGAATTCTTTAGCAAAGGTCCAGATATTTACATTTAAATAGTTGAACATTTTATTTACAGTCAGTAATAAATACTTAATTTTAAGGAACTAATCAGTTTTTACCAACTGAATCATGGTCCCAAACCCTGAACGAGATAAAGCACAAATAGAAAATTAAAGATTCTTAAAGAATTTCTTCGAAGAGTGAAAGATTCTGCAAACCTGCTCAAAGAAATAAATGATAAGTTATGCATAAGAACTAAAAGCCTAAAAAGGTTCAGGGAACTACAGTACAGAACAAACTTATATGAGTATTTTCAGTTGCAGCACATGCAAGAATATGACGGATATGATCCAATCATTGTGTTGCCACCAGATGATGCCAGTCAGCCACGTCTGTCACTCTGGATCATTTTCCATGTTTAGGGTTTATTTGTTTAGCCTAACAGCAGCTAACGACAAACCTCTGGTTAGGTCAGCTTTGCATTATTTTCAAGTATTTAAACCCCGGCCTGTGCAAATTGATATTTTTGGTTTTGTTTACACAGACTGAACTGTGGCAAGAGTAGAAATGCACTAAAATGATCATGTTTCAAACCAACATTGTCTACAAATGCAGACCAAACACCCACATTTCATTCTAAAAGCAGACATCCATATTATTTTATAAGCTATAAAAGATGCGCACAAACCCATGGTTTAATTTGACGTCCTCTCAGACTCCAGTTGGTTGAGGCAGACCTGGAGTTTTCTTCCTCTCCGCCGTCGCTCCTTGCACTGTGCACGTACACGATGAATGAATGCATCAAAGTGAAGGTTTGATGCATTCTGCAGATTTTCTTAGACATCTTACACTCATAGGTGTTTTGTAATATTCTGATTGGATTGTTTTACACTGACGTTGCATTTCATTTGAAAAGAAACACATTTGACTGTCCTGTGGTGGCAGCCAGGTTTTGTCCATTTATTGTGATTTAAAAAAAATAAATAAAAAATGACACAAAAGTTATATCTCCACCCATACTTTATTGGCAAATCCAAAATTAGCATGCAGACAAATGTTTTTTTGAATGAAACAGAATAAGCAAGTCACCATTAATAGATTTTGCAGCATGAATGAGTTCACAGAACGCATGTCAGAGACGCATCACATGGAAACAGATCTGCTGGTCTGTCACGAAACTATTGCAAGTTCGTTAGAAGCTGATTGTGCATGTGCACTTAAATACATTGCATTTGTTTCCAAGGTTTAGTTTTAAACAACTACAGCTGTACAATCAAAGGTTTCCAGGTTTTTAGGGTTAGTTGCCAAACTTTATTTAAACTTTTTTATTTTTACCTTTAGGTTACCTATAGCAGTAAGCTCCATAAAGATGTGTTGTTTTATGGGGGAATCCAAATGAGCGCACCCCTGCTTCCGGGATGCCTCCACAATTTTTCCTTGGGATGTTAATGGGAAACCGTACGCTGCCATCTTTAAGCCAACCACCATTACACTGATCGAAGTGTTGGAAGCGCCAGGCGGCATAAAGCTGGCCGACCAAAGCCAGCTCCGCACCCTGATGTTTGCAGACGTGCACAGCCTGGTCAAAGGAGAAGGACCCAGATATGTAGAAGACAGAACCTGTGACACACACACATGAAAAAATATTATTTTAATATTTTTGCAGTTTAACGATGTTTATTTATTTTTAGTTTTTTTTTTTCTGTTAAGTCTAATTTTGGTGTAATTTACAACCTTTCAACATTAACTACAATGAAGTTACCGTACTTTCCGCCGTACACGTTGCACTGCCGTATAAGTCGCATCAGTCCAAATATGTCTAATAAAGTGGAAAAAAACAGTAATAAGTTGCATCTATTATGCGTCACCGCTGACCACCTGGAAATGTGGGTCGGTGTTGTGCCAAAAATCGATTGGTTGCCAAATGGCGGCCGCAGGAGCGTGCACAGGAAGATTTTAACAAGAATTGAACAAGATTAATACTTAAAAACAATTGTTTGTTTGCTCAAACTTATAACAAAGATGTGTCTCAGTTTAACTTTTCCTTAATAAATGCACTTTAACGGTCAAATCAGCTGCATTTCAAAAATTGATTCACGGCTGCAGGAGTGCGCAGTAGGAGGACTCTATGCATTTTTTCAAAATTTATCAAGATAACCACCTTCAAACATTTATTTGTTTGCTCGACATTATAGTAAAGGTGTGTTTCAGTTGAACTTTTCTTTAATAAATGCATTTTAATGGTCAAATCAGCTGCATTTCGCCTGGGCGGCGCAGTGAAATGCAGCTGATTTGACGTTTGCTCCAGGAGTTCCAGAGCGAGATGAAGGTGGCCTTTATGGCAAGCCAAGTGACTCATTAATAGCCACTTTTACCTATTAATGAGACACTTGGCTTGCCATATAAGTCGAGGGCCCTCTAGCGGCTGAAAATGTTAGTGTTCAATATTTTCCATGTCAGAATGAATGAAATCGTCAGATCTCAGCCAAAAATTGGGTTTTAAATATGGGAAAAAACATAAATAAGCCGCTTTGCTGTATAAATCGCGGGGCATGCAAATTTATTCAAAAAGGTGCACCTTATACGGCAAAAAGTATGGTAATTACTATCACTTTGGGTTATGACTTGACATTTTTATACATATTGGTACATTATCTCTACTTTACGGTCTCTTCTTGAACATAGTAAAAGTCAAGTTTACATTAAAGTTTAATTTCTGACTTACCAACAGTTTGAGAAGTGAAACAGAAAGCATCAAACCAATCATGTTTCTTATCTTTTGGTCCATAACTGCGAATGCCTGCGGGTAGATTTCCTCCACAGACAGGTCTGGGGTGAACAATGGGATAATGAACGGTTCCATCATGAAGCCAACCTGCATTACACCAGTCCAAACCTTCAGTCCAAGCTGCAGGTGGAGACACGGTGATGAGACAGGACCAAACACTGTTTATAGGGACTGACGTGCTTCGGTCACTGTACCTTTGTAGAGCTGGCTGTATGTGGCCAAGGTGCCATCTTGCTCAGAGCAGGCCTCCTTGGCTTCATAGTATGAAAACCTGTAGCGGCCATTTTTACTTTGATATGGAAAGACAACACCTAGAAACAAAGATATTGTTTGTTTACCTCAAACCCTGATACAAAACATCCCCCGAGCACATTTCAGGTACAAACTCGACAGCATTTACACCAGGACAGCTGACAGATATAAAACACATTTTGCTTTGGCACAAGAGGAATGTGCTGAAAATAAACATTCAGTGTTTTAGCAGATACTGGTAGTTGCTTGAATTACCTTCAATCCTCAGCGTAATGATAATATTCTCATCCTCTATGCCATTTATCAGTTCACAGCGATACCTGCCACCGTCTTCCAGTTTAAGACGGCTGAGCTGCAGAGAGGCGTCCATGGCGTGAGCCCCCCGGAGAGAAGCCCTCTGTCCAAGAAGGCCATAAGGCTTGAAGGCCTTTGCATTTGATATCATGATGACGTTCTCTTGGCCGTTGTGCTCAGGCTCCAGTTTTGTCCATTTGATTTTGTAATGGCTCGGTTTGGTTCTAACGATGCACGGCAACGTGACGTTATCTCCCCTTCGGCCTTCGACATCTACACGGACAGGCGGCTCAAGGAGATACTGAAGCTTCTTTGGTGTGTCGGATACTACGGGTGAAACGGCACCAGCACTAATCAATGCACAATAACAAATAAAGCAAAAAGGCAGACAATGATCCTTTTAAACAGTCACAAATAAAAACATGAGCTCCGACCATTTGAGTGTATTTTGTTAGATTTGCAGCCACATGTATTATTAACAGTCATCAATGGTTTTAGCTTAAGCTGATTATTGTATAAAGTTGTACTTTTAAAGATGACTTTTAATTTAAAAAAAGAAGAAAAACATTCAGTTCAGTTAACTGATTTCTTGAAACTAAAAATGAATTATTGTTGTCACTGTATTATAATATCACATTACTTGTTTGTTTGTTTTTGTAAGTAAGAAAACTTAGTTTTTAATAGCAATAAAAACTGTTTTCTTATTAAGGTTATCCAACACTGTCATATCAAACACTATACAAGGGAGCTAAAGTAGTCGGCTCATGCAGCATTTAGTTTGCAAACAGGGGGGTTCTTTATTATTCAACAGTTTAATCTGTCTTTTGACTTTATTAACGCAGCTGTCTGCTGATACTGAATGGTGTAAATTAGTCATTCATTCATTTTTGCCTGTTTTGAGATAATAGTATCTGCTTTAACAACATAAGTGCAAAGAAAACCAAGTTGGTGCTTTAAACTCAGTTTTGTTTAACCTGAAAGTTGTTGTAGGGCGTGTGAAAACTGGTCAAATCACTCTACAATCACCTTGAGATTATTGCAGGGACAAAGTGGTTTTTCTTAACAAGCCCCCTTAATTTTTTTATTTTTTTTGTAAAGCCAAATTTTCTACAGTCATCATGTGATAGACAATGGAAAACATAAGTGACATCTGCAAATACATAACTCGTTTTCTTCCATTTTTGAGCAATGTCTTTTGAAGCCCCCCCTTATTGATACAAAAGCCTGTTTTACCAGATGGAGCTGGATATTTGTGGTTTAAGCTGAGTTAAAATTGAACATTCACTCTGATAAAAGCACAAATAAAGCATTATTTATAAGCCATCATGTAAATTTATAATCCTCTCATTTGATGTTCTTCACACTTGTCCAGTGTTAGCCTTTTCATTATTGTGAGTTTATTTTTAAACATTAGACACAAATCCTGGGATAACGAGGTAATCTAGGATCTGTACCTGCTCTGCTCTGAATATATGAAGCTGAAGACCAGAGGAAGCAGTTTAATGTTAATGGAAGAATCAAAGTGGAGTTTATTTTGAAGGTTGCCATTCTTTCCGCTCCTGAAAACTCACAAGAAAACACAACAAAGTTCTTATGACGCACAAACGAGTTATTCTCACCTCACACTTCTTTGTAATTTCAGTCAAGATGATTTTTTACTAAATTAAGCTGCCGATATTGTGTCTATTCTTAACGTGAAATGATATTTTGATAACTTCAAACCTGTGTGACTGAAGTTGTGTCCAGTTGTCCATTCATTCCATGGGAATGCTTCATAAAACGATGAGCAGATATTTAAATATTTCCGTTAGGAAACTCCTGGATTGTTCATGTCTTCGCTCGTCTTCACTCTTTGTTTCGGTTGGTTTCTTTGTCCAAACACTGACTGTTCATCTGTCTGTCACTCCCACCCATGCCTTTCCCTACTCTGGTCAGATGGTCCACTCTGTAATGAGCAGTAAACAGGACTGTTGTGCTCTTCGCTCCAGATGATGTCCATTCACAAGATGTGTTTTTGTTTTCCTCATCCCTAGCGCTTATTTAAATGAGATTTAAATCAGAGCACATTTTCTTTAATATATAATTCAATACATAAATATGTTCAAAAGCCCAAAACTGACAGAGATCATTCAGGGTTTAATGGCAACACCGACAGTTTATTTCCAGTCAAGCTACACAAAAAGTTAAAGAACAGTTATTTTCAGTGGTTATTCATTGCAGTGATTGAATATGAGATTATTTTCTCATCAAATCCATAAAAGATAAACAAAATGAATTGTTTACATATTTAAATCAGTCAATTTATTTTTAATTGATGCCACATTTATTGAAGACTTTGTCTTTTATGTAGGAACAAGAAAACAAGTTGTTCTGTGGGACTTCCACGGATACACTATTATGTCTCATCAGCTGTTTGTTCTGTCTTTTGTGTTGTGACAGTTGTGAGTCTACTCTAAATTATCCAGGTTGATTTAAGAGAAGCTCAAATTCTGGGTATTTCATAATACCACTCCCGTGTTACAAAGAAAGACGTTATGTTCATGTTTTCTAGGGTAGGGAAGCCTGCCAACAGTCATAAAGGAACCTGCCAAAGACTAAACAACCAGGAGTTAAATGGGGAAATCCTTAGATAAAACTAAAAAATATGTTTCCTGATGAGCGCATCCAAATGCTTACACAAACTAGGTCTAGGACTATAAAGGACTATAAATCTCTGCTCATTATAATTAATCAAACGTGAAAATGATTATCAGCAAATGGTGCAGTTTGAAAAAGTTTACTCCAGTAGTTTTCCAGATATGCTGAATGCAGTTCTGAAATGTGGGTCCACATTCAGCGTAAACAAAACTTTTGGCTGAATCAGTTATAAGAAAACATGAAAACTTGAGTCACGTGACTCCCATCAGGCTGGCTGTAGCACAGGACAAGTGTAGACTGGTAAGCTTAAGTTTGGCTCTTTTCTTAAGCAAACAAATACACATAAAAGTTGGCAACCAGTCACAAACACGTTTTTCATTTCAGGACACAACCACTAATACAAGGAAAACAGTGTGAAGATTTTGTTTATTACTTTGTAATTATTTTTGCCTTGTTTTCATGACTGTGCAATGAGCAGGTAAAAAAGAACTGATTATATCTCAGACATACTGGGCAGCACGATGGATTAGTGGTTAGCGCTGTTGCCTCATAGCAAAAAGGTCCTGGGGTCTTCAGTGAAGAGTTTGCGCGCTCAAGGTTCAAGGTGACTTTATTGTCATTCACATCACATATGGTACATGAGGTGCAAAACTGTGTACTTAATGTCCCAGTTACGCCCCAAAACAGCAAAAATATAAAGTATAAAAAAGAAACAATATACAAAGATCTAAGACATATGCTAAACAATAATAATACGGTGTTTTAAACAGTAGCCTGAACATGAGGCTGTTATGAGCAGATGTGTATGAATATAGCAGCTTAAAGTAAGAAATCAGCAGCATGGATAATCAGCAGCACAGATAAAGTGACAATCCCAATTAAAGTGACATTAGTGATTTTACTGGTTAGGGATTTAAGAGTCTAACAGCTCCCAGCCTCCCACAGACTCGGTCGGACTGTGGCTCACGCAGACACTGCGCACACTGTCTGCAGACGGTTGAGACTTCATACTTGAGTGTACACCCTGATGGGCTGCAGCCCAGCTACGCAGGCAAGGGGTGTTTACCTTCGGGGCAAATTGAGATCTCCGATTGGTCATTTGCTGACACGTCTACTGGATTGATTGACAGGGTAGCCCAGCCGCAGCAGTGTTCTGTGTTTATATGTTAATATAAAGTTCTAAAAATATAAATAAAAAAACATGGAGCGCTGTCCCTGCAGCCCACACATTAGACCTGCCCACCGGGAATTCTCCAGATCCTCCCGCAGTCATGCGGGGCCTGATTTTAATTCTCTCGTGACAAATTCCTTCATTTCTCACAATTTCAGTCATGGTGTCAACAGACGAGGAGAAAGAGATCGCTTGCCTCTTGGCCAAAAAACCCCCCCAAAAACAGAAAAAGTCATTAAACCAGACCAGGGATGAAGAAGGGGAATTTAATACATTGATGTTGCATACAAAAAAGTCTGTCACTTGGCAGTTTATTGTGCGACACCGAGTACGCATACGCGGTCGTAAAAATTGATCTTTGCGTGGACATGCCTTGCAGGCGTCCGCTTCGAGTCTAATGTGCAGACCTCCACGAACTGAAGTACATTTGAGGCTGTGGGGGCCTTAACAGCCTCAGGGTAGAAGCTGTTCCTCAGTCTAGTGGTTCTACGCTTAATGCTCCTCAACCTCCTGCCTGAGGGGAGCGGGGCAAAAAGTGTGTGTGTTGGGTGAGTGGGGTCCTTCATGATGCAGGTGGCCCTTTTCCTGCACCTGTGATGGTGGGGAGGCTGACTCCGACAGATTTCTGTGAAGCCTGCACCATTCTCAGCAGAGCTTTCCTCTCTGCAGCTGTGCAACAGCCATGCCACACGTTGATGCTGGAGCACCGGACACTGTCCACTGCACACCTGTAGAATGTTCTCCTCATGTTTGTGTGAGTTTTCTCCAGATACTCTGGTTTCCTCCCACAGTCCAGGAACATGCAGCCTAATGGATGCCTTCAGGCCCAGATTTTGCTTGCAAGAGTTGTGTGATTTGAATTGGATTTGCCTGGTTAAATAATGGTTAATGATAAATATGCTGACATACATGTTACATATTAAGTATTTAGACAAATTAGCTGTTGTTTTTTTTAATCCTTTCTATCATACAGCTCATAGCGGCATTTCTGCAGACAACAAGCCTGTCTGCACTTCCAACTTTTCCCAGAAAACCGTTGCCAAACACCTTTGCAGTGAGCATTCAGCTACCTTTGTTTTTGCCCACACGGCTCTGGGGCCAGTGGGAGATGCTGCTGCGTCTGATCTAGTTTCCTCTGCCACTATTCCCTCCAGACACAAGGGTGACATTGTGAGGATCATGGTCTCCACACAGTGACAGCAGGCGGTGCACACACAAACACAGTCCAATGTGGAAAAAAGATGCTATAATAGGATTCCTCTGTTTTTGCTTGTGTTGCTTCCCCATTGTGCCCTGTCATCAATGGGGCTCTTTCTTGTCCTCCAATTAGTATTCGAACAAACACCTCTAAGTGACAAAGGCCAACTGTCTCTGCAACTAAAACCAGATGATGCGTATTGTGTTTTAATTTTCAAAATATCTTGAATGCTGTAATTGTAGATATTAAGTCTCAGTCATATGGATTGCCATAAACGCTGCTGCAGGAAACAAAATGAAAGAGCTTTACAGCTCCTGATGCACGACCAGCAAGCTGAAATTAGTTGTTTTAGCAAAAACAATCCTCTGTTTTATAGGTTTCAGTAAAGCAGACCATCATTAAAAATGTTAACTTCATAACTCTAGGAGTCTGGTTTCTCTGTGCATGCATAGGTTTCCTCTGGATACTTTGGTTTCCATCCACAGACCAAAAACATGCACGTTAGACTTATTGGTAACTCTAAAATGTCCCTAGGTGTGAGTGAGAATGGTCATTTGTCTCCATGTGTCCATGTGATGGACTTGAAATCTGTGCAGGTACCACCCCCCGCCTCTCGCACAGCGATGGCTGGATATTGGCATTAGCGACCCCCGGTACCTGGAAAAGAAGAAGCAGGTAAAGATAATGGATGGATGGTTTACAAATAAGATTTAATCAAACTGTTCAGAAATTCAAGGATTCAAAGTGTTTATTGCCATGTGCACAACTGGAAACAAGCTTTCCTGAGCAATTCTTACTTTGATGTCCCACAATGAATGCCAAGCAGATACAGAAAAATATTTAAAATAAGAGAAAAACAAAGGTGCCAACAAAGTTAAATGTGGAAAATCTACTGTATTTTCTGCCCTATAAGTCACATCAGTCCAAATATGTCTAAAATAAAGAGGAAAAATCCATAAATTTGTCGCTTCACCGTATACATCGCACCTATTTTGCGTCACCAGTGACGCATCGCGTTTGTTATGCATCATCACTGACAACTCGGAAATGTGGGCCAGTGATGTGCCATAAATCGATGGGCTGCCAAATGGTGGCCTCAAAATTAACACCGAAAAACAATTGTTTGTTTGCTCGAAAATATAGTAAAGGTGTGTCTTAGTCGGACTTTTCCTTAATAAATGCACTTGGACCGCCAAATCTGCTGCATTTCAAAACTCGATCCGCGGAAGCGGACACGCGCAGAGGGACAAGCTGTGCATTTCTTCGAATTTTAACAATATAAACACCTAAAAACATTTATTTGTTTGCTCGAAATTATAGTAAAGGTGTGTCTCAGTCTAACTTTTGCTTAATAAATGCACTTTGACGGCCAAATCAGCTGTATTTTCAAAAACCGATATCACGCAGAGGGAGGACTCACTATCCATTTATTCTAAATTTAACAATATAAGCACCTAAAACAATTATTTGTTAGCTCGACTTTATAGTAAAGGTGTGTCTCAGTTGAACTTTTACTTAATAAATTCACTTTGACGGTCAAATCAGCTTCATTTCGCCGGCACAGCGAAATGAAGCTGATTCGGTTGCTCCAGGCAGACGACAGTGTAAGGCTATGGCAAGCTGATTGTGTCATTAATAGCCACTTTTACCTATTAATTCAATTCAGCTCATTTATAAAGCGCCAAGTCACAACAGAAGTCGTCTCAGGGCACTGAACAGAAAAATTCATATATAAAATACTGTAAGTTAACAGAAACATTCATATTTAAAAATAATAATTTAACATTATTTATCTGAGAAACAAGGGCAGCACGGTGGCGCAACTGGTAGAGCTGCTGCCGCTCAGCGAGC